ATGGATAAAAAATAAAACGAAACATTGAAATGAAAATGTGTTTCGATACATTGCACGAGTACCCTTCTAGTATATATAAAAGCACATATCTGATTTTAGCTATTTTATGATTTTCTTTACCTTCTATTAAACACAGTAATAGACAACATTTATACGAGATTTAAATTCAAAAAATTTAAATTATCATAACAAAGTTTCAATTATTTGAATAAACACAACTAAGCGATTCACAGTTAAATTTGACAATAACTGTTCGGATAATAAAATCTGTAATAAATTAACTTTATTGTCTAAAAATGCATGTAAATTGACCAAAAAGAATAATATGTTTTATACCGATGAATTTAAAGATATCTCAACCTAGGTAAACATCTACCAAAAGAAAAATATCTGATTCTCCATCTTCCTTTACAATTTTCGTGTTTAATGTAACAACTTTTATTATTGCGTATCCATTGGCACCGTCATATTTCCCTGTACCCCCAATGATTGCGACATGAGACTCTGTATTTACATCAGCTCGATGCACTCCAAAAAACCTTAATTCATCTCTAAACTCGTTTTCAAGAAAACTGGTTGTCATCGCCATCATCTGACTACTTCCGTTTTCCAAGCTAGCAACGTACATTCCTTTCGCTTTTCCCAATGTTATCAACCCGTAAAGATCCGTGCTTCCTAATAAATCAACATCAATTACGTTGACCATGCCAAACTCCAATTCTTCCTGAAGAATAGCTGCGTCTGAAAAGCTTATCCCGCTTCCATCCCCAGACAAGCCGAATGATTGGTTTGGGATGGAGTTGGAATCGGAAACTGGGATTCCTCCCACTGGTGGAAAAAGCCCTAAAGGTTTCGAGAAGGGAATTGGCTGGCTGTTGGCTTTAGTCTTTGGCGGTGTAGTTGGTGGATGTTGTAGGTTGGAACTTTGCACAATTGGCATGTAGAAAGTCATGGTTTTGTGGTGGCGGCGATGGCGGGTTCGTGGCGGCGGTTGTGGCGGTGGTGTTGAACCGACAATGGTACGGGCGGAAAGTGATTGGTTGATGGTGGTGAAGAGTAGCAAAAAGAAACAAGCTAGAGAAATTATGGTGGGAGGGAGTTTGGGCATTTCCATGGAGATGCTAAGAGGCTTTTGTTCACTGTTTTTAAATGCATAAATAGATAGAGAAATCAAAGCTAGTGGTTTTGGTTTTGAAGTGGAGTAGTTATTGACGTCGATATTTAACTTCATTTGTCTTAATAAAATAAAAACAAAAATTAATTATAGAGGAATTTTTTTAATTATTGTAATATTTGTTTTGAATTTTAATTTTATCAAATAAAGTAATCGTATTTATTTTTGTATTCTAAAAAGTAAATATTTTCCAGATAATTATTTTTTAAGAACAACTATTTCTTTAATAAAAGCTATAAATGTTTAAAAATATACTTCTAATTTAACGTAGATATTAGAGAAAAATCTAAAAAAAAATCAATAAACTTTAGTATTTGGAATGATTAAGTATTTAGATTATTTTTTTTGAACAAATAAGTCATTGAACATTCCTGAAAATCTGTTAAATAACTTATTGGACTTTCTAAAACTTGTTAGATACATTCTTATAACTTATAAAATTGATTAATGTGGTAAAATAAGAGAAAAAACCTGGAAAAAAAGTCAATGGACTTTTATATTTTGAGCGATTAATTTCCTAAACATTTTTTGAACCAAAAAAAATACTTACATATATAAAATGAAACAAATATACTAAAAAAGTACTTACATTTAAAAAAAATTATTGATGAAGTTTATTTTAATTAAAAATATAAAATATTATGTCAGTGATTTTTCAGATTAAAAAAAATAAAAAGAATTTTAAAGATGATTGCTGATATATTTATTTTTAATTAAAAATAAAATATATTTCGTATATGATTTCTTAAATTAAAAAAACAAAAAAAAAATTAAAAATGATCGCTGATGAAATTTATTTTAATTAAAAATAATAAAAAATAAATAATCAATAATCTTAAATCTTTTTTTATTTTTTTTTTGGAAAAATTACTGACATAATATATTTTATTTTTGATTAAAAAATAAAATTTATCTAAAATCTTTTTTAAATGTAAGTATTTTTTTTTTTGTAAATGTAAGTACTTTTTACGTATATTTGTTTCGTTTTATAGATCTAAGTACTTTTTTTGTTAAAAAAAAATGATTACGGACTTAATCGTTCAAAATATGAATGTCCATTAGATTTTTTTCAGACTTTTTCCATTATTTTACCACATTAACCAGTTGTATAGGTCATAAGGATGTATCTAACATGTTTTAGAAAGTTCAATGAGTTATTTTACATGTTTTGGAATGTCGAATGACTTATTTGTTCCAATTGCTCAAAGACTTAATCAATCCAAACACTAAAGTCCATTGAGTTTTTTTAGACTTTTCCCTAGATTTTAATAAATATGTTTTATTATCCATCAAACAACTTAAAATAAATTTCAATAAACTAAAATAAAGAAATGTTGTTAAGTCCCAATTTATATAGACTTAAGGTTGTTTGTTTACGGCTTAGTCGCTTAATGGTTTGGAGATAAAGATACAAAAAGATCAAGATGACCAGGGCAAAAACGGAGATTGTAGCATCATAGTTGCACTCTCTGGCTCGAGTCTCTCTCACTAGCGCTCCAACTCCTAGCTCTCTCATATGTCGTTGATGCCATCTTCCACCCTTCACCATCGTTGCTCCCCTCCTTGTTCCTCCGTCATAGTGATAGTGTTGAACTTTGATCGCATGTTGAAATACCTAAAACATGTACAATCTTCCTTCCTTTTTTATCATCAGTTGCCTTTTGTTTGTTGTGCTTTTCTTCTTTTGCATTGATCCAACTTCAATTAATTGATTGTTTTTTTCTAACTTTTCATAAAGTTCCTAATTATCAATATTGGGCAATTCATATTAGAGCTTGCAATAATTTGTTTTCAATTTCAAGAATTATATGGGTTGTGTTCATTTTCAAGAATATTTGGGATTTTTGAATTAGAAAATGTTGTTAAGCAACCATATTAAGGGGGTCATTTTGTCCGATTTTTGATTTTATTTATGGCTTGGTTTGATGGAATTAGGGGCTTGCATCGGGCGGAACAGGAGGTCAAACCAAAAACCCAATCGGATTTCATATATGGAAACCAAGCCCTGAATTTTGAGTTTCGCATTTCAAATTGTTTCGGGTTAGGTTGCTTGGGTTTCGAGTTGGGGTATAATTATATGCAAAATATATATATATATATATATATATTTGTGTGTGTGCAATGTCATAACATATTGTGATCATAGACATCCTCTTTGTTTTTTTCTTATATTTTTATGACTGTTCTCATTTTTTTTAGCAAACTCGAATAAATAAGAAAATAGATGATACCATCTTGTGCTTAAATTTGTTCACATCAAGAAGCGGATGTTGAAGGATTGTTGTCTTTCTTCCTTAGCCTCTTCTGTGGTTTCTTCGCTCGCTTTCGTTTCAGGTCTTCCTCTCGGTTTTTTTAATTTTTACAGTTCTTTAACTTTCTAGCTTGTTTTACGTTGTTTTGTCTTTTTTTCAGTGTTAAACTTGGAGTGATGCTTTTTAACTTAAAGCTCATTTGGTGTTATTTTTGTTGAGTATTTGCTCATGTGTTTTTAAGGGGTGTTTGAGATTGCTTATTTAAACTGTTTATTGACTTATTTCGGTGTTGTACTGGTAATAAGCAATTTTTAGTGTTTAGATGGGGAAAGAAAAAAAAATGTTTATACCGGTACTAAACTGGTAATAAAGAGTTTTTGATAAGTTACACTCTTCTGAGTTATCAAAACAACTTATTAGCATTGCAAACCAAATTACATTTTGACTTTTTTTTATAACCCTAAAACTAAATTGATTTTCCTGCAGAAATTGATGAAATCTTGAAGCTTACGAACGATTTTACTCATCATAATGTCCATTGAATCACACAAATCCGTTCGTTTTCTGTGATAATTTCAAGAAAATGGGTGTTGGGGGAAATTTTTGGGATTTACTTATTAAACCCTGTGCTTGAACATAAGGGTTTCATATTCTAAGAAACAAAAGGGTCACCATTGATCTAACGTATTGGATTGTTCAGCATGAAATCGTCATTAAAGCTCACACAAGAAACCCTCATCGCAGACTCACTTTCTTCCGTACCATCAATCTGTTCTCCTAGGTAAATCGACCTTCTGTTTATATTTTTGCTCGATTCTATTGCGATTGCTTAAGAAGGCGATGAATCATGGTCGTCTTCATTTTGAAGACGAGGGCGGAAGGGTGTCATTTTACATATATAAGCAAAAATTGACAAACACTAAAAAAACAACTTATCAACTTATTATGTTTTAGTACCATCGTAAGTTAATCAAAACACTTTTTATAAAACTCCAGTTTAACACCACATAAGTTGATAAACACTTTTATTAAAAAAAACGTAAGTTATAATCCCAACCACCCTTAATATTGTGCCTAAAAAATCTTTGAATTTAAAGAAATTAGTTTATAATATTTACATTTTACTCGCAAAGTCCACGAAACCGCAGCCATCGTTGCCTAAACCCACCCCTCTTCCTTCTATTCTGTCGATTTCATAGTAAAAGCCCTAGCCTTGTCATTACATCGAACATTTGGGCTCCATTCTTCCCTCCTCTTCTTCACTGCCTAGGGTTTTAGCAAACCCATTACCATGTATCTCTACAATCTCACTCTTCAGCAAGCCACCGGCATCGTTTGTGCCATCAACGGTAGCTTCTCCGGCGGTAACAAGTCTCAAGAAATAGTCGTCGCCCGTGGAAAAGTCCTCGAACTCCTGCGTCCAGACGAAAACGGTAAGATCCAGACCATACTTTCCGTTGATGTTTTCGGTGCTATTAGATCTCTAGCTCAGTTTAGGTTAACCGGTGCCCAAAAAGACTACATCGTTGTGGGTTCTGACTCTGGTCGTATCGTGATTCTTGAATATAACAAGGAGAAAAATGTGTTTGATAAAATTCACCAGGAAACTTTCGGGAAATCAGGAAGTCGTAGAATTGTTCCAGGACAGTATTTAGCTATTGACCCAAAAGGTCGTGCTGTTATGATTGGTGCTTGTGAAAAACAGAAGCTTGTTTATGTTCTTAATAGGGATACTGCTGCTAGGTTGACAATTTCGTCGCCGTTGGAGGCTCATAAGTCGCACACTATTACCTACTCAATTGCTGGGGTTGATTGTGGGTTCGATAATCCAATATTTGCTGCGATAGAGTTGGATTATTCAGAGGCTGACCAGGATTCTACCGGTCAAGCAGCAAACGAGGCTCAAAAGCATCTTACCTTTTATGAACTAGATTTAGGGCTTAATCACGTTTCAAGGAAATGGTCTGAGCAGGTTGATAATGGTGCTAACATGCTGGTAACTGTTCCGGGTGGTGGGGATGGTCCAAGTGGTGTCCTTGTTTGTGCCGAGAATTTTGTTATCTATAAGAATCAAGGTCATCCGGATGTTCGTGCAGTGATTCCTAGAAGGGCGGATTTGCCTGCTGAGCGTGGGGTTCTTATAGTTTCGGCCACTATGCACAAGCAGAAGTCCATGTTTTTCTTTCTTTTGCAAACTGAATACGGGGATGTCTTTAAGGTGACACTTGATCATGATAATGAGCGGGTTACAGAGTTGAAAATCAAGTATTTTGATACTATACCCGTGTCATCTTCGATGTGCGTCATGAAGTTAGGGTTTCTGTTTGCTGCATCGGAGTTTGGTAATCATGCTTTGTACCAATTCCAGGCTATAGGAGCTGATCCTGATGTGGAGTCATCATCGGCTACGTTGATGGAAACTGATGAAGGATTCCAGCCAGTATTTTTCAAGCCTAGAGGGTTGAAAAATCTTGTTAGAATTGATCAAGTGGAGAGCTTGATGCCTATCATGGACATGAAAGTTGTAAATCTTTTTGAGGAAGAGACTCCTCAGATTTTTACACTTTGTGGTCGAGGGCCTCGTTCCTCTCTTAGGATATTGAGACCGGGACTGGCTATTAGTGAAATGGCTGTTTCACAGCTTCCTGGTGTTCCCAGTGCCGTATGGACTGTGAAAAAGAATGTTAATGATGAATTTGATGCTTACATTGTTGTTTCATTTGCAAATGCAACTCTTGTGCTTTCTATCGGAGAGACTGTTGAAGAAGTTAGTGACAGTGGGTTCCTTGATACCACACCTTCGCTTGCTGTTTCGTTAATAGGTGATGATTCTCTCATGCAAGTTCATCCTAGTGGTATTAGGCATATAAGGGAGGATGGGCGTATTAATGAGTGGAGAACTCCTGGAAAAAGAACGATTGTTAAGGTTGGATCGAACAGACTTCAAGTGGTTATTGCTTTGAGTGGAGGGGAGATCATATACTTTGAGGTAGATATGACCGGACAGTTGATGGAAGTTGAGAAGAACGAAATGTCTGGTGATGTTGCTTGTTTGGATATAGCTCCTGTCCCTGAAGGAAGGCAGAGATCTCGTTTTCTTGCAGTTGGATCATATGACAACACTATCAGAATATTGTCCTTGGATCCTGATGACTGTATGCAGGTTCTTAGCCTGACAAGTGTTTCCTCGCCTCCTGAATCGCTTCTTTTTCTTGAGGTTCAGGCTTCTGTAGGTGGGGAGGATGGTGCAGATCACCCCGCTAGCCTCTTTCTGAATGCTGGTCTTCAAAGTGGGGTTCTCTTTAGGACAGTTGTGGACATGGTCACTGGCCAGCTTTCGGATGCACGTTCCAGGTTCTTAGGACTGAGAGCTCCTAAACTCTTCTCAGTGTTAGTGAGAGGACGAAGAGCCATGCTTTGCTTGTCAAGTAGACCATGGCTTGGTTACGTCCACCAAGGACATTTTCTGTTGACACCTCTTTCATATGAAACTCTTGAATACGCTGCCTCATTTTCATCTGACCAATGTGCTGAAGGTGTGGTTGCTGTTGCTGGGGATGCTTTAAGAGTCTTCACAATTGAAAGATTAGGGGAAACATTCAATGAAACTGCTATACCTTTGAGGTACACACCAAGAAAATTTGTGTTTCATCCTAAAAAGAAGCTTTTGGTAACAATCGAGAGTGATCAGGGTGCGTTTCCAGCAGAACTGCGAGAAAGTGCAAAGAAGGAGTGCTTTGAGGCTGCTGGACAGGGAGAAAATGGGAAAATGGAGATAGAGAATGGCGGTGATGATGAAGATAAGGATGATCCTCTTTCTGATGAGCAGTATGGCTACCCTAAAGCAGAGGCGGACAAGTGGGTTTCTTGCATCAGAGTTCTTGATCCGAAGTCAACAGAGACAACTTGTCTGCTGGAGCTTCAGGATAACGAGGCTGCTTTCAGCATATGCACAGTAAACTTCCATGACAAGGAGTATGGAACTCTTTTAGCCGTGGGTACAGCAAAAGGACTCCAGTTCTGGCCCAAAAGATCTCTGACGGCTGGATATATTCATATTTATCGGTTTGTAAAAGATGGAAGATCGCTTGAACTTCTACACAAAACCCAAGTTGATGGCATTCCTCTTGCATTATGCCAGTTCCAGGGAAGATTGCTTGCTGGAATAGGGTCTGTGCTTAGGCTTTATGATTTGGGGAAAAGAAGGCTGCTTAGAAAGTGTGAGAATAAGCTGTTCCCCAATACAATCAATTCTATTCATACATATCGTGATCGAATTTATGTTGGAGATATTCAGGAGGTTTGTTATCTAAGATCTACTTCTCTGTTACCTTTTTTTCTTTCTGCTAGTTTTCCTTTTCCGAGCATGCTTGGCACAATTCTATGTTATGATAGCATCTGTGTGTTCATTATTTTTGCACTTTGATCTGCACCTTAAGATGTTGAAATGTTCCTATACCACCTCCTCTTTGCCACTAATTTCTCTACTTCAGTGCATATGTTTTAGAAAGCATGTCAGGTAGCATGAACATTGTTGCAACTTGCAACTGGCATATATTTGAGCCCAGTTTAGATTACCATGATGGATTGGCATCCCCTTATAGCTTATCATGTTTCAAAAGGTAGACTGCTAAAACACATGAATTTTTGTTAAACATCTTCTAATGTAAGGTGGTTTATTGTGATTGGAACATGGACGCATGAAATTCTGTTAATTTTCTTCTCACATTTTTGAAAAGATCGAGTTTGCAGCATTTTCTCACAGATCATATTGGTCAAGTCTGGTTTGATATGGTTCGCTTTGTCCTTTACAATCACATCTTTGTTATTTCATTTAAATTAGCAAGTTGATGGTCGTAGCTCAATCTTGAAATCCAATATTATGTTATTCACACTGCAAAACATCTTAGCATATTCAATGTTCATTGAAGCATTCTCTTTAATGATAGAACTCTCTTCTGACTAGTGTATGCTTCTTTTCTCTTCTCTTCTTACAGTCATTTCACTATTGCAAATACCGACGAGACGAAAATCAGCTATATGTATTTGCTGATGACTCTGTTCCAAGATGGCTTACTGCAGCATACCATGTAGACTTCGACACCATGGCAGGTGCAGACAAGTTTGGAAACATTTATTTTGTGCGCTTGCCACAAGACGTATCAGATGAAATTGAAGAAGACCCAACTGGTGGGAAGATTAAGTGGGAGCAAGGCAAGCTTAATGGAGCTCCAAACAAGGTTGAAGAGATTGTGCAATTCCATGTTGGTGATGTGGTCACATGCTTGCAGAAAGCATCCCTAATTCCAGGTGGCGTGGAGTGTGTGATGTATGGAACTGTGATGGGTAGCTTAGGGGCATTGCTTGCATTCAACTCCCGTGATGATGTGGACTTCTTTTCCCACTTGGAGATGCATATGAGGCAGGAACATCCACCTTTGTGTGGAAGAGATCACATGGCCTATCGATCTGCCTATTTTCCTGTTAAGGTAATCACATTAACTCTTGGTTTATTTACAGTGGATGTTGCATTGATGTAGCCTGCTTATCTATGTTCGTAATTTATAATCACAAATTTTTTTGGGTTGCAACAAGCACTAAATTCTTGAACCCAGTGCAACTAAGTGACTAAGATATATAGAAATGCTGTGGTTGCTTCAATGTTTAGTGACTGGTTTAACTGTTAAAAGAGATAAATGAAGTATGGCATGTTTTCATTTTTAAGTATCCATTTTGAATTATAGGCAATTCTGTGTTATCAAATGCTATTAATGACACGTGCATACTTTAGATATCTTAAATGCATTTTATGGCTGGTATCTATTATTATTTGGTTAATGGTGCCAATGGAAATTTTCCTTTGGGTATCCATCATTTTCACCAACTTAGGTGATTTTAATGTCAAAAGCTATATGCTGGTGTTGTAACAAAATCTTAAAATATCCACCAAATTGGTTCCACCTGTCATGTTGTATTGATTTGGAATACTTGTAATCCAATGTGCTTCTTTCAATCATCGTTTTTGTCAAGGTGGGTGAGGTACAACGGCCCATCCACAGCTTTTACCAAGTAAAGTGATTTTAAAGCCATAAATCGCAAGCCTCCATGTTTCAAAAATTAAAAGAATCCACCAAATTGGTTGGGGCTCTCATGCTGTGATATATGTAGAAATCTAATATTGATTCCTGATTCTTTTTGTCTTCTATTTATATCAAGTTTGCTGGTGTTTTAATGCTTATTGGGTTTGTAACTTTTGTGAGAATGTCTACAGATTTTTTATCTTCATCTTTCTTCTGCTTCTTCCCGTCTTATTTCTCTGAGTGAAGCATTTTTATTCGATTTTTATTAAAAAAATTCTTTCGGAACTTTTTTATATATGGGGAGTATGAAAGAGACATCCACAAATTTCTATCTAGTAAAGTGCTTGCATTTCTCTTTTAACAGTCTCAAAAGATTAAGAATGGAAGTTCCATTTGTTTTGTTGCACAGTTGCAGTTGCTAGTCCCTTGTTCACCGTTTGTTTTCTTCTTTCTGTTTTGTTTCTCAGGGTAGAGTACATGTTTTCTCTTTTATTGATTTTTCTTGTATTTTGTTTTCTATGGAAAGTTGGAAACAGATATCTATGAGGCTCTATCCAGCAAAGTGCTTGCATTTCTCTTTGAAATGGTCTTAAGGAACAAGAACTACAAATTTCAATTTGTTTAGGTTGCACTTGCAATAAAATAACAGATGGGTACATAACTATGATGTCTAGGATTCCTTTCTCATACCCGTCCAAAAGAAGATGTTAAACCATGTTATTTATTTGCAGTTACCAACCTAATTTGGTCAGTTGCTACAGAAACACGGTAAAAGCAGTTGTTGTATCTACTTAATGGAGTGCGAATAGAAATATAGGTGCCTTGTCAACGCCAAAATTTCATTGTGCATGGAATCTGCTCTTCTCATTATCTCTCTAAATACAAGACCTTATTGGCCGCATATCATTTTAAAGAAAAGTTTGATCGTTACATGTTGCTTCTACAGTTTTCTGACAGTTTATATCTGATTCTTGAGTAACACCAAAAATATGGATACTTTTGGCAGGATGTGATTGACGGAGACCTGTGTGAACAGTACCCCACGTTGCCACTAGACATACAGCGGAAAATCGCAGATGAATTGGATAGAACTCCTGGGGAAATTCTGAAGAAACTGGAAGAAGTTAGAAACAAGATTGTTTAAGGTAAAGGTTAACACCCTGCACTGGTTTCCTATTATACATGTTCATATATTCCTTTTAACTAATCGTATGCTCATTACCTAAGTGGGTGTTCATTGGACATCCAAAATGGAAAAGAGGTTGCAATTTTTTTTAATTACATTGAAGCTGACAATGTCGTATCTCTGATTTGAGGACATAACATAGCTGAAGAACATGTTATTTGTGGAGATTTGTGTGCATAATGGCAACGCTGAGCCTGGTTTCTAATGCATGCAGATTGTGCTATGCGGTTAGCCTCTTGTTCTACGGAGATGGGTGCAAGCCAAACGATTAGCAACCATACAACTACCATAAACTTGAACCACTGAGATCATACAGGTTAAAATTGTACTCGGCATTCAACTTACTTAGCAGCCTCCTATCGTTTATTAGATGCTTTGTTGTAATTATTGCAGATATTGTTTTTTTTAATGGAATTTACTCGAGAGCTTTATGTAGAGCTGACTTTTTCTAGTTCTCTGTTTTGGGTAGTTTGTTAACTTGTTATGAAACAAGGTTAAAGCTTCTCAAAAGATTTGGTGCATTTATCAGTTCCACTTTTCCATCATTTCTGCAGCCAGCAGTTTAAAAGGTAATTCCTTTACATACCTCTGGAGTCATATCCAGCATCGTTGTTATTATAACGACTTGTACCGTATACAGGTAATGTTGTGAATTGCTACTGATTTGGTAAAAAGTTGTATGGTATATGAGATTTGGTCATCTCCAAACGAACCATTTGAGTCGACCATTTAGACATCTAGTGGATCGTTGTATACCTGATTTGCCTCATGTGAGGTGATCTATCTAAGGATTACAAACTTTTTTTTGGCTAAACAATCACATAGGGTTTTTTTATTAGAATAAATGAAGTATTTTTAAATCATGTTACATAAATGTCCAAAAATATGTTCATTTGAAACACGTATTTTTATATAATATAAATCAATGGTTATCAAGTTTGTACGAAATATCAAAAGGAAAAGACTTAAACCCGACTCGGATACGAGGAGTGGGTTTAACCGGGAGACATATTTAGGCGGGTTTTCTTTGAAATATAACTCGGCTTGTATTGTTGGAACCTATCGATGTTGTCAACTTATCGGAGGATATTGTTCGAGGAAGATCGATTAAGTTGAGCCCTTTAGTTGAAATCAAACAAGCTAACATGACCCTTCTTGACTTGGACTCGTGACCTTAAACTCATCAGACTCTTGCAGTAAATTAAACCATAAGCTCCAATAAAACAATCACCAAGTCGTACATTTATTATTACTAGAAGGGTAATTGCGCAATGAAGCGAGATAAATCTTCATTTTAATGTTTAGTTTTTATTCTTCTCTATCGATATAATACGATTTTATGTGGTTTTAAGAAAACGATAATGTTTTTATTTTTGAAGGAAATATAAATTTGAAAATAGCATAAAATTTGAATAGAAAATCGATATTAGTATCAAATTAACTATTTAATATTTCTCATTTTTTTGATGTATTTCTTTGATTCAATTTTTTATTATACGTTATTTTAGATTTAATAACAAAGTAATTTAATTTTGGTTTAATAATATAATTTTTATAAATATAATAATTAAAAATTCTGTTAAAACTCAATGATTATCTTAATTATAATTTACATTTTCTATATTTAAAATGAATGTTTATCCTGTATTTGATTATATTTATCTGCAGTTAGTTACACGAATTTAAAAATGGAGCTTTAATAAGTTGTACTTATGTAAAATTACTTGTACTCCTGAATTTTAAGTAATATGCATCAATAAACAATAATTTATACATAAAAAATGGTTTTTAAAAGTTTTTATCAAATGCTTTATAATATAGTATAAATTCTTTTATATCTTTACCTCCTTTTAATATATAATTTAAATAGGACTCAGTGTTTTATTTGTTTTTTTATTTATTAAAATATATTATATAAAAAATATGATTTTGGTGTACAACAAATATATTGTGGTTTATCAAAATCATAAATTTTCAGCCATCGTTTCGAAAACCAAAAACTTACATCACTTAAAACTTGGTCCTGGGATGGGCAGGGCCGAAGCCGGTCTCGGTCATCAAACTTGAGCCCGTTAAATTTGATCCATAGTCGGTTATGGGTAATCGGTCCCTACCAATTTATTTATTTTAATTTATTTTATTTTTTAATGATAGAGTTTTTAATACATTAAGATATTTGTAATTGGGTCAGTCAAATACACTTTAAAAATACGTTTTATTATAATTAAAATTACATTCAGATATTCAACTATTTGAAAATACACTTATTCATCATCAGTATCCCATGTCAGATTGATTTGAAGACTTCCGGTCTCTTAAATTCTTCTAATAGTCTCTTATTCATCAAGATCATCAATGTCGAGTTCCTCATCATCGTCATATTGTGAGTAAGTGTTGTTGGTACCGGTAGTTGGCAACGTGCTTAGTCCCATGACAATTTCATTTTTTTCCAAATTTTTCTAACACCTATTCAATCTCCACTTCTAACGATAGAAATAAATGAGAATTGTGAAGTGGAAGCGATAAATGAATACGAGCCGAAGTCACAAAATATAGCGACAAACCGAAAATTGTTAACGTTTTTTGCGTTTTGTAAGTTGGTATCTTACACCATACTCCATGCCACTTATATATATATATATATATATATTGTTTAGAAGGCCAAAAAGATTAAAAAAAAAAAAAAAGGGTCAAAAATCCAAAAACCGGTCATATAAACGTTCCCAACGGTAAAAAAAAACCGGCTCTTTTTTTAACTCACCGAGCCAGGCCGGGCCCATAACCAGTCCTGGTCCCACAAATCCATCCAAAAGCATAACCTGTTCCGGTTCTCCGGCGGTCCCGAATCGGACCGGTTTAGCCATCACTAATAAGTAAATAACACAGGAGCTAAAGCTTTAATTGGGCTAGAATGGGCCTTTATTTAAGGAGAATAAACTGGGCCGAGCTCAAAATATTTTACATTGCCCGAGCCTTTCCTATATACAATTACCACTATCCCCAAAACCCTAGCCTTCTTCCATTCTTCATATTAGGGTTTCAGAGCAACCCTACATTGCAGCTGCGGCTCGTACTACTCACGCATAATCCATGGGTAACCCTCCATTTTCGTATGTTGATGACATTTTTCTTTCGAATTTATGTTTTCTACGTTGTTTAATTTGTTACGTGAATTGCAGCTCGGATCAAAGTTCATGAGTTGAGGGACAAATCGAAGGCTGATTTGTTTGCTCAGTTGAAGGATCTTAAGGCTGAACTCGCTCTTCTTCGAGTTGCCAAAGTCACCGGTGGTGCTCCCAACAAACTCTCCAAAATGTAATTTTTCTCTTTCCGATGTGTGCGTGTGTGTGCATAAACACTCTCACACTCAGATCGTACATGTATGTTATCATTAGTTTATATTTTTTGTTCAAATTTATGTCGAAAGAACGTCATTCTGATATGACCTTGACTACATACTTAGAAACAACCAACGATTCATCAAAATCGACATTTGTTGATCTAGCGCTTAGAATTTGGCTTAGCAACATCTAGATACTTGAGTTTGTTACTACTGGACTGCTTCTTAGGTTTTGAATTTCTGATATCTAGCATTTGTAGTGAAGAATGTTCAATCTAAGTTTGATGTTTTGTAAATTGTAATTGTATATTATTACGTCTAGTGAGATGGGTTATGTCTCTTTTCGATTGCTATGCTGTATTGGTTATTATACATACTATTATGGATTCCATACCACAGTTTCAAAACTGACTATTGTTGATTCATTCATTTTCAAGTTCTTTGGCAATTTAGATTTGCCATTTTTTGTTCTTGTTTACTTTTTAGACTCTTTACAGTGAGTTTTGTAACTGTACTGGGTTTATGTTTTTAGACTGCAATGGAGTAATTTGTCTCCAATTATTCACTTAATGATTGGCTTCAACATATTTGTTCTTTTTAATGATTTATCTTTGTGGTGCAGAAAAGTGGTGAGAACATCTATTGCCCAGGTGCTGACTGTCATTTCACAGACACAGAAGGCCAAGCTCAGGGAAGCTTACAAGAACAAGAAGTACTTGCCTCTTGATTTACGTCCTAAGAAAACCAGAGCCATCCGCAGGCGTTTGACCAAGCACCAGGTATCCATCACTGTTTCTTTTACTCGTATGAATGGCGATCATACCAAAAGATTGGTTTCTAAAATGTGCCTCAATGTTTATCATGAAAATGAATTTTTTTCGCTTGTGGAGAACAGGTGAAGTCTTATCAGTTAGTTGAAATGCCATGTTAATTTAACCTGATTTGAACTCTAGCTGTTTTCACCGACTTCATTACTACTTGCTAGCACCAGTTCCGTTTCATGTTTTAGCCTTATAATAAGATCAATGACAGAAGCTATTTTCTAGTTCTTGGTTCAACTACGTAAATTTAAAAAAAAAGTTATTATAATAACCGAGTCTGTATGAGGTGCTTAAGCTTGGCCTAATATTGAGTCCATAGTTGATGGCAAGTAAGTTTTACCGAAAAAGATGAAAACATGCTTAAGACAAGAAGTTGCAATGAAGCAAATGGCAGGATGATTTAATCTTCAACCTTTTCAGTTGATGAAGGGATTCTCTGAAACAATTTTGAAAATTATATCTTCAATACCCTGTGTGTTCTTGGTGCCTTATCTGAAATCTCTATCCAGTGATTTATCTTGACCAAGTAGAAAGCTTTTAGTGATTTCTTTTTAGGGTTTCATGCTGCTATAGATCATTTCATAAGCTGAAGAGTTTATCTTAATGGGGTTGTTTGTTTACTTCTTAATAGTTCTATTAAGAGACAACCTCTGAATCGTCAAGAGGTGAATCTTGTTTGGTAAAAAAAGTCTGCCTCTTAATGGTTCTAAAATTCTTTGAATGATTTTGCATCATGGGCTTTCCTTAACCATTTAACCCCCTAATTTCATTGTAAATTTACCAAACAATTATATTTCATTATGTACTATATCATGAGAGTCTCTAAATCATTCTGACCACCAAACCATTAGGCAACTATCAAACAGCCCCTTATTCATATATATAGTTTAGGAAATGTAGATACTTGTAATTTGTGGATTTTATGAGTAGTCAAGTGTCAGCAACATGAATCCATATAATGCGATGCAGGTATCTCTGAAGACTGAACGAGAGAAGAAAAAGGAGAAGTACTTTCCATTGAGGAAGTATGCTATTAAGGTTTAGGGTAGCTTAGGTAGTACTTGATTTTTGAACTGGGTTTTATTTAAATTATATTTTCATGTTTTGGATCAAATTGAATTTTGGGAGTTGAAATTATAGTGTTCTGTTTTCTCCTAGTTTTACAGTGGTTAAATGAATGGTAGACAATCTTTGTTACATGAGGTAAGTTATTTATTACAACTGTCATTGCATCCTCAAAATAAAAATTGGATGGTTCTGATCTGATCTGATCTGCTCTGCAGACCCATTTATTCAATGCACAATAAATCATAAAAAGGTAGTTGGTAAAATGGTAGTTGTTTTGTTGTACTCATTTTACAGAAAAGGTGTTGTAATATCATTGCATTAACAGTATAGTTTTTTAGAACCTCCATCTTTATAACATAACAACTTCACAATAGAGGTTCTTGTTCTTGTTCTTGTTAAGAACCTCCATCTTTATTATTTAAATAACATGTTTGTCTAATTTACCCTATGTCATCTATGGATTAGATTATCGGCCTGACCATATTCACTCGATAAGGTACATGACATCCGATAAATGTTTGTTAAATGATCCCTTAGTCTCCATGCATTGCCTCATCGTCGTCACTCCTTGTACGCTCCAGTGGTGGATCCGAGATGTAAATGCAACCTTGGGAGAAAGGTTGTTTGGATCGTTTGAATTGAACTTTTTAAAAGTTTTTGGCGCTTCAAACATACAAAGACGGAAATAAGGTTTGAACACAAATATTCTACTGCATATACAACTATAATACAAATACGTAATGTAAAGAGTTGAGGGTTTGAGATACTTTACACTAGTTTTATCGTGGTTCACCCAACTTGGCTATGTCCACACCAAGTTACTTCTCAAGACACTTCACTGTTGTCGTTCTTTAACAAAACCTTACAAATTGATCTTATAAATAAGGTGCAAAACATTCAACCTCTGGTAAAACGGAGAACACTCAAACCTTTCACAAAAAATGGAGAATCACTCAATGGTGATCTTCGTAGGGAGATGACTCAAACCTCACACACAGATGATAAAAACACAAAGATAACAGTGGGAGAAAACTTCTCAAACCTAACATAATATTCACATACTTTCAAAACACATGTACAACCGTAAACCTAAAATTCTTTTTTCAGGTCTATTTTTAAAACCTCAATTTAAAAAATAATATATCCAAATCGAGATAATTATACCATTTGATATCATGTAAAATTCGGATGACAACTTCACATTGGCTCGGATTTACACGTTCTAATGCAATCTTAGACTTTTGTCTATTGGTATGGCTCTCGAGGCAATGTGACACCTTTCCCTAGACGACGTCCTTTATGGATTAACTGACTGAACACGAATCTTTACTTGACTCTCAACATATCTTAAATGTGCACATCAAGTAAAATCGTTAGTCCATTAAACATTTCTTGTGTTTATAATCATCAAAACATATATGTAAAAATACATAGATATGTGGTACACATACACCAACAATCTCCCTCTTTTTGATGATGACAAACAATACGAATAGTTTGAGAGAATACCAACTTCTCTCCCTCTTTTGTCGAATCGAAAAGGCGAGGGAAATTTATAAATGCACTCCTTATCGAGATGCTCCCCCTCAAGAAAAGCATCGATCAAGGTGTTTTAACAGACATGTAAACACAAACTATCATGCATAATGGGTAGACTACTAGACACTAAAACCGATAAGAATGTTAGCACATAAGCATACCCGATAAGCGCTTATCTATAAGAGTTAACACTATGATTTATTTTGATGCGCAAGATTATAAAGCACATAATCATTCATGACATTGAATTGATGGATCAAATCACATAATCTAATCTATGTACAAAGTTTTTTAAACCAGTATTATCCAACTGACAGTTTGATTGTTAAAACAATTTTTTAAACATGTGGATACTCAAATATATTGCACAAATTAACTGGTGATATCCAACTTACAATTGGATACGTGGATCATAACTCACACTTGGACATCATCTAAAAATATTTTAGAAACCAAAGCGTCTAAAAACATTTTAGAACTTGTGACTTGATTTTCGAAAATATAATCGTCAAAACTGTTTATTTGATTACAACGGATACCAAATTAGGCACTCGAGATTCAAAGGCATTGGCTAGCTACGAGCCATGTTAACACGTGAAATCACCAACAACGTGTTCTCAAAAACTCTCTTTCAATACAAGGCATTGTGGGAACCGTTTATTTCTTAATTTCTCATTCAAACTTTAAAGGTTTTAACGCTTAATAGTTTCAACTTAAAATATCTTACGGTTTCACCCTAAAAGACTTGTTGCTTCACGTTTATATACCTTAAAAAACTTATAATTAGGCCCTGCATTTACGTTGGCCACAATAGTACTGATATTTCTGCGGCTGTTGGCACGGAGTTAGTCAGGGCTTCTTGTCATGATCGCGCACAGTCGTTTCTAAGGAATTTCACCTCTTCCTTCCCCAGGTTACTTGACTAGATTTTTTTGTGGTTTAACGGACAACCATACCCTAAATGATGGGCCTAATGGCAAGACTCCGATTTTGAACATAGCGGCAAATGGGTTTAGGTTTTTATATATGCAAGGATTCTACTGAAAACATAAATATTAGTTTATTGCAGACCAAAGATCTTAGTATTTATTAGTTTTTTTCCACCACCACAGACTCCATTTGGGCTATCTGCAAAACAGGTGGTTGTCCTGAGATTAGTCGGCTCGCATAACAGGTTGAATATCCAGATTAATCAAAAAAAATTATATTAAAATATATAATAAAGTATGGTATATATAGTATACAAAAGGATATGAGTTGTAAATTATAGCCTTCACAAGAAAATAGATACTTATATTAATACATTGTTAATACACTATAAAGATAATAATACTTTTGTGTCTTACAAGGAAACTCCATTCTTTTTATTTATTTTTTTATTAACCTGGATATCCAATTTGTTATGCGAGCTGACTAATCTCAGAACAATCATCTGCTTTGCAGATAACCCGGAGTCACCGCATTTGAACTTCTGTGGTCACAAGAGAATTTTTATTCCTTCTTGAATTTGAACCTGAGACCTCCTGATACTTTTAACCTTTAAAGCCATACTCAAACCAATCAACCACCATTCATGTGGTTTTCACTCCATTCTTTTGTGTGGCTATACATACATTTTTACAAATGGACTACCCAATATTAACGATTATTGATGCATCTTCATAATAACTTAAATGAAAAAAAAAATACTGATTCAAACTAAATGCTTTTAAAATAATGTTACTGTACGAATAGCAATTATTTATTTATTATTTTCATCTGGTAAATAATTATTAAGTATTTAAAAATATATTTAAACTGTCATTACATAAAATACGAATTCAGAGCCAAAATCAATTTTAATTAAAGTCTTGAATCTTTTTATGAAACATAATATTGTATGTTTCTGAAATATCGAATTTGACGTCTCTACACAAATTTAACGCATAATGTCATGTAATTCTCATTTTTAAAAACCCGTCAAACAAGTCATACCCGTTTATAAGAATCATTTAGTAAATAAATAATCATATTATTCATCAAATAAAATAAAATAAAATAAAAATAAAAATCCGAAACCAAATAATCATGTCGTAAAATCTAAAAATATATGTCAAATATGGTGTTTTAAAAGGCTCGTCACGGCTGCCTCGTGACGTGTTATAGCTCAAAGCTCGCGTATAACGCCACGTTAAGCTTATGCCACATCATGGCCCAATGCACGGTTGGTAACGCGATATTTGATTTCTCTTATGTTTATGTTCAATGTCTTGCTTTTTATTTTTTATTATATAATCTGATTTAAATTGTTTAATACTATTGACTCATTGAGTAATAACATAAAACATATGTGTATATATATACTTACATATATTAGAAAGGTACTCGCACAATATCTCGATTTTAAGGTTTCGTTTTATTCTGTCACAGTAGATATTTTAATACGGTTTTTATGTGGTTTTGAGAAATGGATAATGTTTTTTATCTTTGAGTAATATATAAATTTGAAGATATCATAAAATTTCGCAAGTAAATATATCAATATTAGTATCAAATTAATTATTTAAAATTTCTTGTTTTTTGTGTAATTTCTTTAATTTAATTTTTTTATTATAATTTAATTTAGATTTAATAACAAAGTAATTTATTTTTGATTTAACAATATATAATTTTTTATAAGGATACTAATTAAATATTTTTGTTATATTTTAGATTTTTTATATTTAAAATGAAATGTTTATCTTGTATTTGACTATGATTATCTGTAGTTAGTTACACAAATTCAAACGTGAAGCTTTAATAAGTTGTACTTACGCACAAGTTGTTTGTAACTTTTAGTTTTAAGTAATATGCATCAATAAATAGTACTTCAAGCATAAAAAATGATTTTCAAGAGTTTTTGTCAAATGCTTTATAATATAGTATAGATTAATAACGGAGTAATTTATTTTTGATCTAATAATATATAATTTTTTATAAGGATAATAATTAAGTATTATGTTAAAACTCAATGATTATTCTAATTATATTTTAGATTTTTATAATTAAAATAAAATATTTATCTTGTATTTGACTATGATTATCTGCAGTTAGTTACACGAATTCAAACATGAAGCTTTAATAAATTGTACTTACGTACAGTTTGTTTGTAACCTTGAATTCTAAGTAATATGCATCAATAAACAATACTTCATGTATAAAAAATGATTTTCAAGAGTTTTTGTCAAATGCTTTATAATATATTACAGATAATATACATATTTGTCGTCATAAATCATGTTTTAAAAAAACATCATCATCCAGCCATCAATCCTAAAAGCTTGAGATATGATCCCGCCGTCACGTCACGTCTCACGTCATCTAAAACCTTGAATAACAAATCCTCAAACTCTCTCGATCATTGCAACTTGATCTCCTCTTGCCAAACCGGATTTGGGATTTTCGGTTTTCCGTAGACAGTTCAATTATATTACAGAATAAAACTATTAAATCGGATAATCATATTATTTTTTATTTTTAAATATTCACAACAAAAAAGTGCTATTTGTCAATGATGACAAGCATTGTGGTTGAATCTTTAAAGTATTCAACATGGGAAGAAATGTAAGTCCAATTAGGTGACCACAAGAAGCCAAGGGGGAGCATTGCATGGAAAGTGTTAGGAACTTTACCAAAAGAAGATAAAAAATTTGTTATATATTTTCATAAATGGTCCTTATACTTTAACCAAATGTTCATTCTCTTTTCTTTTTTCAGAACAGTTACTTTTGGACATTTAGGGGGTGTTCGGGATTGCCTATAAAAACAACTTATTGACTTATTCCGGTATAATATCGGTAATAAGCACTTTTGAGTGTATGGATAAACAACTTATACCGGTGTCAAACTGGTAATAAGAAGATTTTAAAGAAGTTAAACCCTTCTGACTTATAATAAGTTGATAAGTGCTTTTATAGAAGAAAAAAAAAACATAAGTTATTTCAAATAAGCAATCCCAAACACCCCCTTAATCCAAATTATATCATTTGGTTGATTAGTCAAATATTCTTCCCTCTTTTTGTCTTTTCAACATGAGTTAGGTAACCCTATACAATAAATAAAACTTTCATATTATATGAAATTAATATTTCTAAAAATCATTTAAATGATTGGAATGAGGGGCACCAACCAACTACACCAACAATAAACAATTTTCCACAACAAATGTTATGGAAGATGTTTCGTATTTTGAAGGTTAGGTGGGGGATTTTGAAGAATAATAAAAATAAGATTATAATGATATGTTTTTTTTAAAATATATAATATATTTTATATACAGTAAATGCAATAAATAAACTCATACACTCTCTTCATTATTGGTAAGGTTTAAACTATTTACCTTCTAAGAAGCAAGAGACTCAGATACCACTAGGCCAATGGCACTTGTTGTTTTCTTTATAATAACAAAAGTAAAAAAAAATAGAGATGAGAATAATATCATGTATATTGCCTCATAGACTCCAATTAGAAATTTATTGCACAAAATGTGTTTGAATAGTGAAGTGCTATAAATTGACGATATGTAATAAATTCATGATTTGCGTTACATAATAGTGAAGTGCTATAAATTGCAGATCAACTAGGGAATGAGTTTTTGGCATTTTCTACGCTAATCTGCAAGGGATCAACGAGGGATTGTCCAGAAACTCATTCTCTCGCTGATCCATCGCAGATTAGCGAGGGATTAACGAGGGAATGGTCAAAAACTCATTCTCTTGTTGCTCCTTCGCTGATCTGCGAGGGGTTTTTTTTCTTCGCTGATATTCGTCGCTAATACCTGGTTTTCTAGTACTATACATGATTATGTTTTATTATTGATTTATTATTTAATGCATTCAATAATAGATATGAGAGACAATTGTGTATTTAAGATGTCAGCCTACGAAGGCTTTAGTAAATATGGTAAACTGTATCGGTTTTAAAGCGGATAACGACTTTAATTCTAGATAATTACATAATCTAGAATAAGAACTAAAAGAACCAGTTCCTAATTCTAGTATATTGAATTAAACAGCACATTGAAATATAATCGTTTGATAATTGTTTAAATGAAATTAGGGCGCTGAATGGTTAAGGGAGGCTTACGATACAAAATCATTCAGGTGGTTTTAGAACCATTAAGAGACATTTTTTTTTGTCAAACAAGATTTATCTTTTAACGATTCAGATATTGTTTCTTAATGGAACTATTAAGAGGTAAACAAACGACTCATGAATCAAGTAGTCAAGGATTGAGGGTGAAAAAAAAGGTTGGCAAGTTATCTATGATATATTAAGTGGGACGAATACTAGTGGGTTTGGTTATGACAACTTGAAATATTGTGTGATTATCGAACCATCGGTTTGGGAGTTTTATCTAAAAGTACACGCGAATTTATTTTGTTACTGAAAATATTAATTGTATTTTACATGTTAGATTTGTAGTTAAACTTTGCTTATTTTCAGCTAAACATTATATCAGTGAATAAGTTCATAAAAAAGCTGCTAAGTGGAAAACATGATATTTTCTCATTTTGAATATTTATTTATTGTTTTTGAAAAGATCGATCTCAAAAGAGTATAGCCAAATATTCGTTGAGAGGAGGATGCAGATGTGAAAGAACAAAAACAACATTTGGATTATAATTTGAACGATATGACAAAAGATAATGCATATTCCACTGTTGACTGTACTATAGATGTGCAAAGTCAAGAATGTACAAGTGGTAGTAGGAAGGGAAAAGATGAGGGTATTTACTTGACGAAAATCAATAATGTAGCTACCAAGGACAAGCTTATGTAAGCATTGACAACTTTGGTACGAGATAAAGTGGATCTACAAAACAAAGCTACCATTATCACTTCTAAAGTTTCAAAAATGGCCCAAAGGGCTATCTGATCTGGTCATGGGGGGATAGGGTACCTTCGATCGGTGGCTGGGCAGTGATCTTTGTGGGAGCGGTTGAGGGAAAGAATTGGATGTTTATGTTTAAATTTTGATTAATAAATTATGAAAGTCTTGAGAACCGGTGCATGATTTGTTATTTTACATAAAAAGATTCATTGAAATATAATAGGTCATTTACCAAATGCTTACTCGGATAACCGCTTACCAAATCACATTACCATACCGGATGCATATGACAAGGATCAAGAATCTTACTCGGTAAGAGCAAAAATAATGACCGAGAGTCTTACCTAGCAAGTGAGGGTAACGACTATTAAATTACAACTATCATAATATTTGTAGTTGTTATTTGATTAAGTGTGGTATATATGATTATATGGTTATATTAGTAATTAGTGCACATACAAACATCTTTTGATACGAAAAATAAAACTAAGGGTAGTTTTTAGTAATATCGTTAAAGTTGAAGGACTAAATGGAATCATCCTTTTAAGGCGTGGGATTTGAACCTTCTTAACACCTTCCTCTTGTCTACTTTCCGGTGGGTGTGTATGGAGTGTTTGTTTAACTTTTTTTTCTCCTTCGTAAGGCAAATGCCATCGAAACTCTTTCATTTGTAAATACTTGTGAAACACTTCAGATTCTAGAGTTTGGTCGTTGTTTTTCTTCTGCAAATCCAAGAATGGGTTCAGCCATAGATGAAGGTACTCTTCTAAGCTCTTTCATACGTGTGTGTTTGTGCTTGCTTTTTGTTAATTCTGTGATAGATTACAATATGTTCGTCTACGGATTTCTCAAGTTTTTTATATCATTGTTAGCCTGAATGTATCAAATTGAAGTCTGAAGTAGTCGCGAGACGATGATCAACATGATTAATGCATTTCGTGTTTCAAGAGACGGAAAATTTTGCTGAAAATCGATTGATGTTCTTAGTTTGGTTTAGGTTTGTGCTTGCCTTTTCCAATTTTGTGATCGACCAAAATCAGTTTATCTGTATCTAGGGTTTTAAATCATAATATTAACTTATATATATATATATATATATATATATATATCAAGTTGAAGTGCTTGTACTATGAAGATTAACTAGATAAATGCATTGTTTGTATTAAAAGATGGAAATAATGCTCAAAACCGATTAATGTCTTTAATTTGGTTTAGGTTTATGCTTATTTCTTTTAATTCTGTGATTAATTAAAATCAGCTCGTCTGAAATTCCGAACTTCTTTATTTGTACTTCTAAAGTGTTTACCAGATGAAGAGTAACGAGATTAATGTATTTTGTGTATTAAGAGATGAAATTTATTCCCCAAATCAGTCAATGTTCTTAGTTTGTTTTAGGTTTTATGTGTAGTTATTGTATTCGTATAAGTTGTAACTGGTGCTAGTAACTTGGTAATTTGTGGTCTGTGTTGGATCAAAATTTGTTTATTTGCAGATATATATACATATATATGTATGTATAATATATGAGTGTTTCGTCATAAAAAACTTTGCAGGCTGATTGATTGCACAGTTCTGGTTGTTCATATTTGTGTATTTGTATCTGTAGGAACAAATTATGCTAAAAGCAGTAATTTCTGTTGCATCGAATCTAATTTCATTTATCATGTTCTGGGAATCTCTGCTATTATTAATTCGACAATTGTTATTCAATGGAATAGGTGACTTAGAGAAAGGGCTCATGACTCCATTAAAGCAGAATCAAAATTCCAACCCTATAGGCGAGCCATCACCGTCACTGTCCCCATCTTCCATGTCTACTCCAGCATTGGTACTTACAAATTCCGGGAAGCGGATTGATCAGGTTGGGAAGAAGAAGTACGTGAAGCAAGTGACAGGCAGGCATAATGACACTGAGCTGCACCTAGCGGCCCAACGAGGTGATCTGGTGGCTGTGAAGCAAATCCTGGACGACATTAATTCCCAAATGGTGGGAACGTTAAGTGGAGCTGATTTTGATGCAGAGGTTGCCGAGATCCGGGCATCAGTGGTGAATGAGGTGAATGAGTTGGGCGAGACAGCATTATATACAGCTGCTGAGAGGGGGCATCTTGAGGTTGTGAAAGAGCTTTTGAAGTACTCCGATAAGGAAACAATTACCAGAAGAAGCCGGTTGGAGTTTGATCCTTTGCATATAGCTGCTAGTCAAGGACACCATGGTAATGATCTTTAAATTTGTTCTAATTTTTCGTCTTCGGTTAGCTTATTTCACTACGTGAAGGTTCAAATAAAAAAACCATAAATATTTTGAGAACTGTGAGAACCATGCATATACAGTTATACACTACGAATTGCATTGAATATATGCACCAATGCATATATACTACATATACATTGATGAATATACTAATTGATTGATACATAACTTGATAGTGTATATGCATCAATGCATATCATATTGGGTCTCACGGATCTCAAAATATTAATGGTTCTCGTTTGAACTTTTCCCCTATTTCACTAATGAGCTAGATTTAAATGGTATCCTCTCTTGTTAAATATATATCTGCTGTGATGCCAACATCTTTGTGTTGACTCTTATTGCAGCCATAGTCCAACTGCTACTTGACCATGATGTATCACTATGCCAGACCAGATCACAAGGAAACGCAACCCCTCTCATTACTGCAGCTTCGAAAGGACACACAGCTGTTGTTCACGAGCTGCTGTTAAAGGATCCTAGCTTGTTAGATATTTCCAGGTCCAATGGTAAAAACGCATTGCATCTAGCAGCAAGATCAGGGCATGTTGAGACTTTGAAGGCTTTGCTTGACAAAGATCCACAACTGGCCAAAAAGACGGATAAAAAGGGGCAAACTGCACTGCATATGGCTGTAAAAGGGATTAGCACCGAAGTTGTTAAATTGCTGCTGGAGGCTTATGCAGCTATAGTAATGCTGCCAGACAAGTCCGGTTTTACTGCATTGCATGTAGCTACCAGAAAAAAGAGAGCAGAGGTACACTTCGATCCTTCCAAATACCTGTATTCGTCTTTGGTACTTTTGTTATATACTCGTTGTAGTTAGTCATTGACATTGCACCGATCATGCTCTAAAATGAATGCCAATGTGATTATGTGTTATAGTCTCACATTGGCCAGACTTGGACCCTTTATGCTTCAATGTATGTTGGAACCTGACTTCTCTCTTCAAGGACTCTTTTAGGGAGTAATCTGCTGGGGTTCTACATATTCCAACATGGTATCGCATCCAAGGTCTACCTTTGGGACATTTGTGCCCGTCTAGCCTCCATTGGAGGGGGCGTATTAGAGTCCCATATCAACTAGACTTTGACCCTTTGTCTAAATATATGTTGGATACCCCATTCTCTCCTCGAGGGCACTTTTGAAGGGTAACCTTATGGGGTTCCACATTATGATAAAAAGGTTATCCATTTAACGCGCTTTTGAAGAGTAATCTAATGGTGTTCCACATATTCTAACAAAATAGTTATCCATTTAACGCTCTTTCGAAGGATAATCTAATAGGGTTCCACAAATTCTAACAAAATGGTTATCCATTTAGGGCCCTTTTGAAGGGTGGTATGATGGGTTCGACAAATTCTAACAAACTGGTTATCCATTTAACATGGTGATGAGTTAGGCGTATATTTTCATACATGCATTTTCAACATGAATATGGTGTTGTAAATGAGAATCTTACCACCTATTTGCACGTTCTTGCAGATTGTAAACGAGCTGCTTAGTCTCCCTGATACAAATGTTAATGCACTAACCAGAGATCACAAAACTGCTCTTGACATAGCCGAAGGCCTTCCCTTATCTGAAGAATCCGCAGATATAAGGGCCTGCCTCGTTCGCCGTGGTGCAGTCCGAGCAAATGAACTGAACCAACCAAGAGACGAGTTAATCCGAAACACCGTGACTCAGATAAAAAATGATGTCCACATCCAGCTCTTGCAGACCAAAAGGACAAACAAAAACGTCCATGGAATCGCTAAAGAGCTTAGAAAACTCCACCGTGAAGGGATCAACAACGCCACCAATTCAGTAACCGTGGTGGCCGTGCTCTTCGCAACTGTCGCTTTTGCCGCCATATTCACTGTTCCAGGTGGCGACAACGATGACGGCATGGCAGTGGTGGTCAGCCGGACTTCTTTCAAAATCTTCTTCATTTTCAACGCGATTGCTCTTTTTACGTCGTTAGCCGTGGTGGTGGTTCAGATCACATTAGTTAGAGGCGAAACGAAAGCGGAAAGAAAGGTGGTGGAGGTGATCAATAAGCTAATGTGGTTAGCTTCTGTGTGCACTTCGGTGGCGTTTATGGCATCGTCTTATATAGTGGTTGGTCGGAAGTACGAATGGGCTGCGATTTTGATTACGGTGGTTGGAGGGGTTATAATGGTGGGGGTGCTGGGAACGATGACGTATTATGTGGTTAAGTCGAAGAAAACTCGATCAATGAGAAGGAGGAAGAAGATCGCAACGAGTGGTACAAACTCGTGGATGGCGTCCGAGTTTTCGAACTCGGAAGTGGAAAGAATCTATGCTATTTGAGGTACAACATTTAACGTTGTTTATAGTTAGATTTAGGAGTTACGTTGAAAGCAATTCAAGTACATTTTGGTGCATTTGTTTTTGGACTAAAAGCTCACTTGGTATTTAATTCTTTTAATTCGTGATTTGATTCGTGCCACCGAGAGCTTATATGGTCAACGTTTGATAAACGACCCTTGTTTTGATGTTTGTAGACTTCATGTATTTAGAACTTTCAATCGTCATTTTTAGAAAAAAGAGGCGGATTGAATTAGGTCGAGTAATATATAGAGTGAGGTGATTTATTATACAACCCATTACATGTGTACAACCAAGACAATCTAATCTCAACCGTTCATTTAATTTGATGAATATGTGATTTCATAAATATCTTGATTGTTTTCTAATATAAAGCATTGATCATAATTAATGAAGTCTAATTATATTTCATGAATATTCAAATCATAATATGAACTTTTATTATTTTTATAAATATCTTAATTGATTGGATTACATTGGTTGTACAAATGGAATGAGTTGCATTTGAAAGCATGTGGTCGCCCTAGGATTAGTCGGCTCACATAGTGGGTTGGATATTCAGGTTAATCAAAAAAAATTATCGATTTTATAGAACCAAACAATTAACTATTTTTAGACTATTTTTACCAGATAAATGTATGTGATTTAATAATAGAACGTACAATTATTTGGTCTTATAAAGTCATTCAATTATATAAACAAACTATGTCATATATAAAAGTATTACAATCAGTTTTTAGAGTGCTTTTAGACATTTTTTAAGAGACTTTTTAAAATAAAGTGTCCATTTAATTTTTCTCATATAACAATTTTGAAAAATGACATTTTTATATGGAAAGATGTCATTATAAATAATTAATTAGACACTTTATTTTAAAGATGTTCTAAAAGACGTCTAAAAGTATTTTATAAACTTATTGTAACATATTTATATGAGATATACATTTGTTTGTAATAAATTAATGAGTTGTGAGACCAAAAAATAATACATTCTATTAATAAAATACATACATTTATTTGGTAAAAATAGTGTAAAATTCAGTTAATTTTTTGAATATAACAATTCAGAAAAATGACATTTTTATATGACGTCTTTTTGCATTTATATTTTAAAAACATACTCGTTTATATGGCATTTTTAAAAGAAAAGTGTTACAATAAATTTGTTATCTGATATTTTTTTAAAAATTACATTTTTATATGACGGCTTTTCGGATTTATATTTGAAAAAAGATGTGATTATAAAAAAATTAATTGGACACTTTTTTTAAAAAAAATCTAGAAGACGTCTAAAAGTATTTTTATAAACTTATTTTGACACATTTATATAAAATATACATTTGTTTGTAATAAACGAATGATTTGTAAGACCAGATAATTATATGTTCTACTAGTAAAATATACATTTTTTGGTAAAAAAAAGTAGTGTAAAATTAGGTGGTTGTTTTTTTTATTAATTTGGATATCCAACCCGCTATGTGAGCCGACTAATTTTAGGGCGACCACCTGCTTTGCAAATAGCTCGGAGTCACCGTATTTGAACCTATGTGGCCACAAGGGGATTTTTATTCCTCTTTGGATTTAAAACTGAAATCTCCTGGTACTTTTGATTTTTGGAGTCAAGCTCAAACCAATCGGATACCACCCTTGGGGTTAAATTAGGTAATTTTTTGTACATATGAAAAATATAATCCTCTGATTTGTAATTAAAAAGAATTAAAAATACTTTTATATGAGATACACTCAATGGCTTGTCATTGAACGATGTTAATGGCATAAATTGTAATCATAAGAAACTAAAATTATAATGATTACATAGACGAAAATCATTTTAAAAATAATATTAATAAATAAAAAAACTAACTGTTTTAAAAATATTTAATTATTTATCATAAACAATAATAAAATAATATAATTTTTGTATTGAATTAGTTTATTATCAAAAAATATATTGTTTTATTATATTAAAAAGACTAAAATACTAAAAAGGAAAGCAAAGATATATTTAATAAATCAAAAAGATTAAAATACTCTTAAAATAATATATGATTTTTAACATATTTGATATTAGAAACGAGAAAAATAATAAATTATAAATTATAGAAACGAAAATTACAATTTTAAAACCACATAAATCAAAATTAATTATAAATTATTTAAAACCTGTTAACAAATTGCCAATTTAATAATCTTAAATGTAGTTTTGGAATCTTCTAGAAAACAGTTAAATTATTATAAATATAACAATATTTAATGGTTATAACAACAAATAATCCACAAAATAACAAAAGAATGGTAATTAAATGTGAAGCTTAAGAACAGGGGTATTTTAATTACCGACCAATCCAATCAACCCGGTTAACTCGATCTGGAAAAACCCAAAAAATTCAATTCGAGCTAATTCGATACATAGTTGATATAAAATTAGATCAACCTGTTTCTATTGGGTTGAAATTGGGTTAAGATTTTTTCGAACCCAACCTAACCTGAACCATTTCTATACTATAAATTTAATATGATTTTTAAGTACTTGATTAACATATATACATTAGACATTAGATCAATTCATAATTAGCTATATTCAAAATTATATTACAATATCAATCGTAATTTTATTTTCTTATTTACATGAACCTTCAACTTTCTTTTTTGAGTTTTTTAGTCTTTTTTATATGTTATCATTTTGATTTTACTTCGTTTAAACAAAAATACTTAGCTAGAGTTTAAAATGATATAGCAAAGTTTCAACCCAACCAACCTGCACAGTTTGAGTTAGATTGGGTTGTATTTTTATTTTTTATTTTTTTTTGGATTGGGTTATGTTAGGTTGAGATTTTTCAAACTGTAGACATTGGATTAGGTTATTCAAATGTCTTCAACTCGATCAATCCAACTCATATACGACCTTTAAGAATATGGATGGCTTTTTTCCTTATAGTATATTTAACAAACGATATAGAGAAAAAACCAAGTGGAAAGATGACGAGCATTGTCCAATCTCGAAAAGGAAAAGACGACCATGTTGTCTTGCTTTTACTGTGATATGATATAAATATTATTCGTTCTTTTTTATATTCGTCTTTTATATCATCTTAAATATTAAAAAAAAATCAAAATTCTATCCTATCATCATTTTAATAATATGATTATGTTTCCTTAAAAAGTAAACTACAATTTGGTCCTTCAAGTGTACTGAAATCTTTGAAATTGGGACCTAAACTTAAATAAGTCAGGTTTTCATGTAACATCTTCGGCCAACCGTACTAGTGCCGGATATTGTTCGCTTTATCCATACACCTGGAATCACGGTTTTAAAAGGTGTCTGGTAGATGAGGTATCTAGTCCATTATAAGGCAACTTTAGTCCCTTATAACGCGTTTTAACTTATTGTAATATAATAGTCGATCCTTGTACCATCGGGATAGTGGTACAAGCCGCGTCGGCTTATGATGAGTCCTCGAGGGGAGGTGTTTATAACATTTTAGGCGAATATCACATCGCTAATGACAAAGAGGAAGATTTTGGACAGGTCTGACGAGGACGTCAAAAGTTTAAGTGGGGAGAGTTTGTAACAACTTGTTATACATAAATAGAAAATTGGATTTGTAAGCTTCTTGTAAGCCTCAAGTTGTAGGCTACCAATAATTTACATTATGGTTTGAAGTTAGATTCAAGTTATTTGGTCAGCCTTTGCTTTGGGCTTCGGAGTGTTACATTTCATCTTCCAAGTATGCATTTTGGGTTGGACGATTTTACCCCTGACTCTAACGGAGAAATTAGATACTTAGATCACAATTCCAGAGCACAATGCATACCTGGAGGACGAAAACTCAATTTATCAAAGTTTATATATTTCTTTCAAAGATTTCACTAAATCTCAAAACATCAAAATTGTAGTTTAATTTTCTTTTAATTTACATATCCAAACAAAAAAGTTATAAAGGGCATATTACGACCACAAAAAGGATCTGAAGGCTCTTGGGACGTACCCCGATCCCCGATCCAAAAAAAGAGTGATATACGAAACTATGTGTAAAGTCACAAAAAAGGTCTTTAGCAAGGCTTAGAATGTTCATTATTCATAGATTTAGGGGCCGTTTACCAAACGCTTACCCAGATAAATGTACATTACTTACCGGATAAATATGATAATGACCAAGAATCTTATCCAGTAAGAAGAAGACAAGGACAAGAGTCTTACACGGTAAGTGAGGACGATGACTCTTACCATAGTAAGCACTTACTCTGTAAATTGTTGCATACGATGCCGTTTTGATGGACTAAAGTCTCAACCCGGTAAGTAAGTAGTAGTGTTAAATTTTACCAGTAAGCGCTTACCGGGTAAGTGTTTAGTAAACAGCCCCTTAGTACCATTTTGAGACATCCTCTCAAGTGTTTTGCTAAGTTTCAAAATGTGTTATTAGACTACATACCATTTGCTATCTCGATAACATGTAGAATAAAACGCTTTTGATCTACTGACTCTCTCTTTTATGACTTTCTAAAGATGATGCAAAATGTGATTGGTTTTCTATCGGCATGCATTAATGTTCGTCAATTAAACTGATTCCTTTGAGCATCTGAGTAATAATATTTGATGACGGACACCAAACATAAATAGTTGTTTTACAATTTATTTTTAAGAGTCTAAAACTTACATGCATGGACACATGAATATATATATATATATATATATATATATGTATATATATATATATGTATATATATATATATGTATATATNATGTATATATATATATATGTATATATATATATATATATATATATATGTGTATATATATATGTGTGTATAGATATATATAGATATGTATATATTATAGTAAACTACAAATAGAGTTCCTATGGTTTGTAAAAAATGACACTTCTAGTCCATGTAGTTTTGAAGTTACAATATGATCATCATGATTTATAAAAAGATCTGGATTTTGCCCCTTCCTCTAACAATTGTTAAAAAAAATCCATTAGATGACAAGCCAAAAAATGGATAAAGAAACAAAAACCCCCTACGATAACAAGGTCTTTTTAATGGCTGTTAGAGGGAGGGAACAAAAAAAACGATCGTTATTTTATAATTTCAAAAGTGTAAGGATGAAAAATGGTATTTCTAACAAACTAGAGGGACCAAGTTTGTAGTGTACTTGAGATCTTATATACTTGGTTGCTGCTAACTTCTTACAATAATAAGAAATTATTAGGTATACTATATAACATTAATCCATTAACATGGATGAAATATTTATATACCTTTTTTCCCTATTTTTTAATAAGATATATGATTTAATATTTCACTAACAGAGGCCCCCATCAGGGGCGGATGCAATGGTAAAAAGGAAGGAGAAAGAGATCTCAGTCAAAAATTCAAAAAAAAAAATCATAGGTTAAAATTTAGGTTTTACATTATTTACCTTTCACTTTCCCCCATTACATTTTTCCACGGGTCCCAGCCCCAATCGAAACCGTTACTCTAGCCAAAAAAAAACTGTTGAAATCAATAATAAAAAAAACCAAAAAAGTTATTAGAAATCGACAAAAACACTAAAAAAATACCTCGAAATCAACCAAAAAAACTTTAAAATTCCCTCGAAAACGTTGTAATTAGGTTAAAAACACATCGGACGATTTTAGGGATCGTTAGTCTACCTTAAAGATGACCCCACTAAACAAAAATCATGGATCCGCCACTGTCCCGTATTACTCGTGTCTTATCGGCGGAAACAAAACGATTTGCTAAACATTTTTGTTGATGGTATTGATTTTATTATTTGAATAATTAAAAATATATCGAAAGTCATTAAATAACAAGACATGTGATATCGTACCACCACCCAATTAGTTCACGTGACCATAAAAAGGTGGTTAATAAAATAAAGATACACAAACCAACATGACAATATATCTTTTTAAACACTATGAAAGGTCAAAGACCATGGGCATGGGGGCATGTTTCTAATAGCATGCCCTATTTGGTATTATTTATATACATATAAAACATATAATAGAAGAAGTTATAATGTAATAACATCTTCTAACAGCTTCTTTGAAATAAAGAAAATAGAATTTTTGAGTCAATATTTTGTTATAACAGTTTTCCTAAAACTATCTTCAAAATGGAAAAAGTATGAAAGTGAAGAGTTTTTTCTCCAAATATAGAGAACACCTTAAAAATGATTACCAAGTGAGACCACCAATAGAACTTTAAAAAAAATATTTAGAAAGAAAAATAATATTTAAATAAATGAATAAATATTTTAATATTATAATCAATGTTGAATTCTCCAAAATGAGAAATATGTTGGTTCTTTATTTTGAAGAAATTTTAAAAAACTTGTTGGAGATATTAATAATAGTATCTTTCTGAGCCATGTGCTTGGTTCTTAATTCCCACTTAAACATTGTTCTTTTTACAAGAATGAAACATTCTTTTTTATGTATCATTTCCAAATTGATGACCTAACACATGTTTATCAGGTAAGTCTTTACCGTGAAGAGCAGAGCAATCATCGTTACTTATTTTATCGCATAGTATTCTTGGCTATCAAAATATATTGTTGGTAAATGTCTTTTACCAGATAAGTATTTATCGTGTAAGATTCGCGGTTCGTGTTATGTCTCTTTACCAAGTAAGATTTTTGATTTTTATCGTGCTTATAAGGTAAGCGTTTGATAAACTACCTCTTACAAGTTGATATAAAGTAATAAAGATGAATTTAATAAGGGTCGTTTACATATATAAGCTTAAACAAGATTGCAATTAAACTCGTGACCTCATTGATATATTGAAGCTCTATATGGGCAATAAAAAATATGTTTTAATCATTTTCAACCGATAAGAAATATTAAAAATAAGAGAAAATGATATTTTATTAAATATTTTTGATAATATAGTTAATGTTAAAATAAAATAGATCTTAGAGTTTAATATAATTTTCTTTTAATAATTTTGATTTTCAAAATTCTATTTTCTATGGTTGTTAGAGATCTTTGTTTGTCACTTGCTGAATAATTTAATGTAAAATGATTAAGTGATCAAAATAATTAAGAGGCTATCATGATACAGTAAAAAATGAAATATAATTATTGTATAAATGTTTACAATAAAACTAGGACGTTTAATGGTTAAAGAATGCCCAAGATACAAAATCATTCAAAGAGTTTTAAAACCATTAAAAACAGCATTTTTTGTTACCAAACAAAATTCACCTCTTAATGGAACTATTAAGAGGTAAACAAGCAGCTCTTAAGTAACCTAAAAACCTTTCATTTAGATAGATAATGAATGCTTATTGTTTCAACACAAGTTTTACAAGAATGTAATTTTACAAATAAAAGTTCAGTTTACCAAGCAGAAGGATTTTACAAAAAAAATTAGAGCTCTCTCTAAATGTTTTTTAAAAAAAATAAAGCAAAAAATTAAAAAGATTTACAGTTAACTTCAATATATATTTTTATTTTTAAACATAATTATATATAGTTTTATCATCCCAATATATTTTATAAAATATGATGGGATTGCTGTAGATATACATGTCTCCCTATAACAACTCACTACAGAGATGCACAAAATACCAGTCAACTGATTTTGGACCGCTCCTAAAACGGACTAGTTGGGGGACCAGTTAGGACCATCGTCCTGATTTGGTCCTAAATTTTTGGCTTAAAGCCCGGCCCGCTCTTCTTTTTGGCAAAATAGGGCCGGTCTTTTTAGGTACGGTTAAAAGCCGGTCCTTGTGCACCCCTACAACTCACAAAAGTTGATGATAGGCCCTGCAGGTGAATTCAAACAACAATACTTCTATTCTTCAATTATCATGCTAATCCTCTCAATCACAATCACAATCACAATCACATTCACATTCACATTCACATTCACATTCACATTCACATTCACATTCACATTCACATTCACATTCACAGGTATGAAAAAACCATTTACTAGCTCATTCATTATCTCAGTAAATATATAATAACAGCAAGTAAAATCAAGTTACCATTACAAAGGCAAAGATATAAAGTGGTGTTTAACTCTTTTGAGGACAAGAGAAACTATAACTTGATGGTTGTGCATTTTCTCCATATAAAGGAAGGATTTATGATGGTCATTACTCTAATCATACCGTAAAATTCAAAGCAGAAGTTAAAAAAAAGCCGATAAATTGAAGAAAAAAGGCAAAGCAGATGGAAGATGAGGCGACCTCTATATACAGACAGCATGGCTGAGCATCAACGAGTTGAGCAGAACACTGATACATTCTATAGGGATGTGACAGACTTATGGGCAATGTCATAAACAGATATAAGAATTTCCGCACCTATGAGTATAATAATCAGCCATTCCAGAAAATCTGATTTACGGTTCTGAAGAATCTCTTGAAGAAAACGAATGTTGTGCTGCAACAACGATATAAATATAAGTGTCATCCCCATGGCCAAATTGTTCAATGAAAAGAAATTAGGAATGAAGAAGCATCTTACCTCCACAAATTTCAACTTGAAGTCCAAACTTGCAAATCTCTGGGTTAACTCAAACTCATCTCTTAGATACTCCCATATCTGAGCATATTTGGCATCCTTCCAGGCAATATCAGATCTATTCAAGCCAATACAATTTTCCATCAAATTATATCCATTTATTGATTTTACACAAATGAATTCAGAGGAAGGGGCTGTTTGGTTGGTTTTCCATCCTGTATTAAAGTTGTATTTGTGGATTAATTTGTTTGTATAGATTGGGAAGGTTCCTTTTTGGGAGGGTTTTCTCCATAGATGGAATGAGCATGTTTTTTAAGTGGGAAGGGCAAGTTTGGAAAAAACTTGGCTTTCTGCATAAAGCTCCCCTTAGAAGCTTATTGAATAAGTCACTTTCTATATCATTAGGCCACTACCAAACAATCATGTATAGCTGACCGAATAAGCCCTGAGTTCTATTACGCTCATTAAGTTGCTAACATACAGGCCAGAAGTAAAAGATCGCTACAGATATCGAGCCACCATTTCATACATAACACAAAACCATCAATGACAGCATGCCAAAAGGCTCAGGAATACTCTCACCCGAAGGTAAGTAAACAATTCTTGAAACACATGCTTTACTAAAACCATGGAAGGTGAAGTCATTGATGTTCTGTTTTATATTGTTAGATATGTAAGCATTGTTAGTTTGTTTGTTCAGTTATTAAAGTCTCTTTGATTATCCATCTCATAGTAATATTTACAATTTCGGCAAAGTAGCACATGCATTTAACATAGACAACATTATACATTAGTCTAGGATTGAAACCTATATGTTGTGGTTATAGTTGATAACTTTCTTAAGAAAAAGTAAGTTTAAATTTAAAATTAGAGGCGGTAAATAGGCAGTGTCTGGCAAATATGATAACGGGTAGATTAGTTTTCATTTCTCTAAAACATTCAAAAACTTATTTTCATTTTATATTGAAAGGAGACGATTCTTACAAGAACAAATACATATCATAAGAAAAGCAAGAAGTTGAATCATATTAAAATATGAAAGTATTTAATTATCCTTCATGAATAATATTCCCCACTCCCTCCATCCCAAAATAAATGTCCACATTGAAAATGGCACACTGTTTTACGAATGTGTAAATATTACACTTTTTAAGTAAGCAAATGACAATTTTACCCTTAATAATAAAGAGAGAATTTTCTCCATCTTATAATTAAAGGGTCATATGGGAAGGTAAATATTTACTTTTGAAAGTTGGCGCTTATTTTGGGACAACCTAAAATAGAAATGTGAATAATTATTTTGGGACGGAAAGAGTATCATTTTCCCGGCATCATAAAGACAAAACTCTAAAAGAAACATTAGATATGGCCGATATTTGCTTCTAAAAGAAAGTACTTGCTAGTATTTACATTAGTTTCCAATTTCTTTTCGTAAAACTATTTCTGAAATTGAAGCATGTTTTTGCAGGAAGAGAATCACAAAAAAACTCTTACTACCTCCATTCTAATAAAATGTAATTTCATACTTATTACACTTTTCATATTCACAAATATTTGACACCCTTATGTAAGATATGATATTTTTCTGGAACAGTGTAAAACCATATAATGTTTCAAATGACTCACGACAATACATGTCATATAGTAAATGTTACAACTGTATTGAATGGAAAATGATTTAATCAGCTTTTATTTTCTTTTTATCGTGAGCTAAAATGTGGCAGGAAACAGGGGGTTGGTATATTAGACAACAGAACATCACTTTCCCACACTTAGAGCGTCAATTAAAGGTTACCTCTCGAAAAGTCCAAGCTTAAGTATCACATCAGCAAGATTTGAATTTGCCTTCCCTACCAACTGAAATAGTTTTTTCCTTTTCATCGTGAAGGTTCCAGTTTTTTCCATGCCGCGATTTATATCAGTGAATTCTGCAACCATCCCATCAACCTAAAACAAGAAGTATGAAGAACCGGACCAGGCATTCATAAAACTATTAGAAACTTACAATGTAGAACCCATGAGTTCACCCACCTGGCGAACATAGTAATCAAGTGCTATACTCTGACCTAGAACACTGCCAATTGTACGTATCCCATCAATGTTCAAATACTGCAGCATTATATAATCTAACCCACCTTGCATCCATGTGCCCAAAGTTGGTTTCTCCCTAACCTCATACTCTGAGTTCAAACATCAAAGAGCTCAGAAACATATCAAGTAAATGAGATAACTAGAAAGCATGTATATTATTTCCTCAAGTAGCAGAAAAGAAGTATCTCCACAGAAGCCAAGAAAACAAACTACATAAAAAAGATTGAATCAAAGCAAAACAATCCAGTGATTCACAACTTCAAAATGTTGAGTTTACATATTTGCAATGCACTACAAACATCTGCCCAAGCCATGTTACAGCCTTACAGGTTCCTTCTTATCAGCATCTTTAAATGCTATCAACCAAAAATAAAATATAGAAACATGAAGTTCATATTAACAAACCACACACCACATCCATCAACTCAAAATTCCTATTAATAAGTCAAATAAAGCAAGAAACTAGGGTAGTAAACTAGGGGTTGAGATCGAGATGGGAGGATGAAAACTAGAGAGAGAGAGAGGGTAGGGTTAGGGTTAGTGAGTCGATAGTTAAGTTTTACGTCATTCCTGTACTTGCCCCTTTCCGTATTGCAGTTGCTTACCTATATACAACTCTTCTAAATTTTGATCGTTCCAGCTTTTCTCTTCCTAAGAGTAGTTCGCACACTTTTTACAAGCTGGAATCTTCACGGATACAACCACTGTACCTTTGGGTGGGATTTGCTGGTTTCGTTTTGGTTGGTTTATATAAAGCAAGAAAATCCATAGTAAATGGATTATAGTAATATAATACCCCCTCAATGCAGACATCAATAAAAAAAGCTTTAAATGCTTAAAAGGATGCGGTAAATCATAATATATCTCAAAGATGCATTGCTGATCTCAGACTAGGTATATCCTTACAGTCAAAAGGGATGCTAGATGTCCTGAAGCAGATTATTTACATGTGCAGCTTCAACATACAAGCTTTTTTTGGTGGGGGGTGTTTTCACGGATGGTGGGTAATTTTAGAAGCTTTCATGCAACTAACATGCATTTGATGTCACAATCAGATATCACAATCCAATGCCACTACCAGAGATGCACCAAGGTTTGTGCTTAAGAGTGACAAGGGTTCATCTCCTAAAAATGCAAGTGAGCATAAAATATGTAATTATTTGGTATATATTTGTTCCACAAACAAATCTGTAAAAATAAATGCTTCATAAATTTATATGCAGTTAATAGCACGCTTTGGCGGATAGCAGTCCTAGAGAAAACAGCGGTGTGTTATAGCGGTACCCAAATAGCTGCCGCTATTGATCGCAATTTTGGTAATCAAATAGTCGTTGCTATTACCGATCTCTTTCGGACTTCTTCTTTTAATTTAAATTCTATTTGGGCTTTTGTTGTGTCATTTCTGTGGGTATTTAGAGCGAAACTTAGGCCTGCAAACAAAAAGGAAATGGTTAAATCAGCAATAGGAACAATTAGGTCAAACTTTGGTATAGATTCCAAGTCCAAAGCTCTGCTCATCTATTCCAGGTCCAAAAAGCTTCAACAGCTCGAATCTTCTTCTCTACTCCACAGTTTCACGGGTTTTCTGCTGGATTTCTAATGAGTTTTCTTCTCGACTTTTCTTCTCGTCTCGACAGCACAGCACCTGCTTGATTTTACAGCTCCTGCTCGATTCCTGCTCTGGATTTCACAGCTGTTTGGTTCTGCTCGAACCATTCCTACTCCTAATCCAATTCTACTATGAGCTTTATAAACTCTATTACTATGTTGCTTGTGTGATTTGAATTGTTTCACTTGATATATATTAGACATACAATATTTTACGTTTTATACATTCGTATTAATATTATGAACATAATTCTTTTACCGCTATATCATGACAATAACCGCTATTTCAGATCAAGGTCCCGACAGCTGTTTCCGCAATCAACCACGTTAACTGCTTATATCATTCTTAAACATATTCAATCCAACTTGGTACTAGCAAGACTGATGCAATCACAGGTGTAGGTTGACTTTCTTTTATTTTGATTATGGCAAGTGAAAGTTCATCATGCCAGCATAACAGAAGTATTAAAAGTATGAAACTATAATTGATAACTGAATATGTCAAACCGCAACCAAAAAGAACTAATTGCGTGAATGAAGACTTAAATGAATAGCCGAGAAGGGGAGGCTCGCAGCTTCGCTCAGCAGAAGAGCCTGATTTTCTATTAGGCTCTAGAATAGTCAAATTAATGGTCAGTCTAACTCTTAACTCGTAATGGCCTGGTGAGTTCCAACTTGAGCTTACCTTTAGAGCTTCCTGGGCTCTAGGCTCCACAACGTGCACAATCTGGATTACAGGCCAGCAAGCCCGGAATACCATGTGACATATGCTACTTTCTTCTTGCAATTACTATGTTCCGGGGAAGTGAAAAATATTATTTTTTGACCCTATAGTATTGTGTGGTTGAAGACAAATGACATTACGTGCAATAAGAATAGCAGATGTGTTATTGTTGCTTCAAAAGAAAACAAATGAAAATTGAGGAGAATGAATAGAAGAATGACTAGCCGAAGGTACACATCACAGTGCTCATCTGCTCACCGTCCTATGTTTCCATGATTTTGTCACTGCCATATCTCATGACCTAATTGCCAAGCTTTGTGGTCGATTCTCTCCCAAAATTAATTTTAACCTGATTGCCAATGGTGTATTATTATTTTTTAGCGGCACCAGAGAATCAAACCTGGCCCAACAGAAGTCAAGAAATCTATCGGACTGGCTTTCCCCAGATGAATCAGCAGCACCTGACCCAGTACCAGACCGGTGAAGGGTCTTCGCCAATCGCCATGGTTGGCAAACCCATAAACCAAGGATGAGAAATTATACTAGTTATGCGTATAAAACACTATGGACATGTAAGCCATCGAGAAAAGGTACAGAACTTCAGGCCCTCTGTTTTACAATAATTACATAATCAACAATGGTGGACAATCTCAATTTTCCACAAAGCTTAGTAATGCAAGACCCAACAAACCCATAGCATAACTGATCTTTCCCAATCATGCAACAAATGCCAGCTATAAAGCTAGATCCTAACCATGTAAAAACTAACTTGAGCATTTACTGAACTTGGTTCACCTAACACAAACTATTATTCCTCAAGGCCTATCAAGAAAACTTCTAATAACAAGAATCCTGCAGAAATAGAGTGCCCTTTAAAGAACCTATAGGTGATAAGCTTACACAGACAAATTCATATAACAGTAGGATGTCTGAAGATGGTAGGATTACTTGCTGTCCTTACTGCATGTGCTATTTCCTATCATGCATATTGAGAAATTTCAAGGTGAATGATATATTTAGAGGCTGTTTGTTTACCTCTTAATAGTTCCACTAAAAGGCAATCTCTGAATCACTAGAGGTGAATCTTGTTTGGAAAAAAAACACTGTCTCTTAACGGTTCTAAAACCCTTTGAATGATTTTGTATCTCGGGCCTCCCTAAACCATTCAGAGCCATAATTTCATTCTGAACAATTACCAAACAACCATATTTCATTTTGCACTATATCATAAGAGCCTCTTAATCATTCTGACCACTTAATGATCTTACACTAAACCATCCAGCAACTGCCAAACAGCCTCTTAGTGTGCATATGGTGTTGACTCTAACCTAATACAACCCTGCAATAATAGTTGGCATCAGGAGGACCAACCATTCAACCAATGCCTGAGGCCCCTATTCTCAATGTGATGCAAGCTATAATTATGTTATAACTAGATAGATGGGCCAATATATGTATAGAAATAATACCTCTAATAGGTCACATATACCACAATTATTCAACAATCAACAGTTGCATTGCATTACAACCTACACAAATACAATAAGACATTAACAATCCGTTCACAAATCACAACAAAAACCTTGTTGTTGCTATGTTACGCTAGGTGATCCTTGAAGGATGTTACAATGATTTGAGCATAACAGTTTGTAAGACCTTATTTAAATTAAGAGAAAATGAAGATTACGTGGATCTGAATAAAAATTAAAGAAAAGTAAGCATGATAAACTCAATGAGACCTCACCATCCTTTCTCATCTCAGGGAGCAATCCTGACGCATGCTTTTCTACAATTTTCAGATACCCGTCAATTTCATGATCACGGACATTAAACAAGACAATTGAACCATACTGAAAAACTACCATATAGCTGCAGTCACACCCAGTTATGCTTGCACCCAAACCCTGAAAAGCATATAGCATCAAAGAAACTTCAGGAGTATGAAACCTTCAACTATGTGGATAACGAACAGAGATTTTCAGTTCCGTGCACCGCAAACAGTAGTATGCAAGTGCCAGATGATAACTCCACAAGACAGTTTGTTTATGATTGAGAGTAGTTGACTCGCTCACATGCAAAAGAATCTGTATCACCTCTATATATTAAGATGTACTTTTTGGAATTATATAACATTTATATACGCCAAATGAACTCAAGCGAAAGGCAAATATGTGATGCAAAATGATGGCCAACATTAGTTGTTTCTCTCATGTTGCATTTGGATAATAATTTAAGTATATTGTTTGTCAATCACATTTTAATAACACTACAAGATATCGCATAACATGTCTAACTAACAAATGAGCATGTTCTTGAGGAATTATCCCAAGTAATTTAGCAGCTTTTACCCTCTTAATTACTCCACCAAGCCCAGTGGCAAGGTCAATAGTTACTTGGTATGTTGTTAATTCAAAAGAGTATGTTCAAGGTGATCATTGTAATTAATTATGAGCGCTCTCTTGGTCCCTCATTTTTGCCCCCATGGAGAAGGAAGATGATGTAACATCAAAACTGTACTGGTGGTGTAACATACGCTATGACTTCTCTAGGTTGCTGACCAACAGAAAGAACCACGCTTTGATTCTACATTTGTCTGCTGTAAAGGCCATTGCCCTCCTGAATCAAACAAAAAAAGAATGGGCTCACAAGGCACAGCCAGAATATGGGGCCAAAAAGTGCAAAAGGAGCAGGATCGAGGCAATGGCTGCTAAAAGAATGGAAGGAAAGAAAAGAATTTCCCAAGGATCTCAAACGGGAAGCGTGCAAATAGCACGAGACCTTCAACTATGATAGCCATTTACCACTTTGTTTTGACAAATAAGACAAGAAACCATATAAGGTTCAAGATTCAAGGGATGAGAAAAAAAAAAGCTAGGTTAGTAACTGTCCATTTCTATTACAACTTTTAAGACTAAAAGCTTGTATGATGCTTGTCCAGTGTTGTTATACAAATACCTTTTGTAAAATAATTAACTTTAAACATACAACAAATACCCCTGAAATTTTCTAATTACTTGAACAGAACAGACTTACAATAAGCTCAGGCTTGGTGCTGCCAAACCTTAATACAATATAATTAGTCATGCGTGATGTAGGCTGGATGAAATTGGGTCTGTTCTGTTCCAATAGACTTCTCAAATCAACACTGCAACCAAATCACGCAGTCAATATTCATCCAAGTTGAACGCACTAATCAATAGTCATGAAATATTTTTATCAAAGAAGTACAATAGTAAAACTAAGCCAGGTAAATGTGCATATACATGCTCTTACAAATTCATATATGTATATATATAGAGAGGTTTAGGGAAAACCCAAAAAAATGAAGAAACTGAGGAACACTAACCATCCATCTAGACGGTATACATGTGCATGCAAATAATTGAAAAGTTGTTCCACTTTGTTCCTCAGTTTTTCATATATTTTTTAAGTTTTCCTAATCCTATATCAAGAATACACCATAGCCTTATAGGTTTGTAATTCCAAATAACAACAGTCAAATGGTCTGTTCAGAAGTTCCAGAGAACCAATATTTGCTTGAAATTCTTAAGCATTGTATGCACTCTGAGATATAATGCAGCGCATTTGGATACATCTGTTGCTTATACACTACAATTCCAGTATGTCTTTTCACTTGTCAGAAAACCACTTTCAATTGCATTTAAATACGAAAATTTCAAGCACCTACTGCCATACCTAGTAGAGAAGAAATAAGCCCTAACAGGAATAGACGGTTTAACGTCCTCATCACTCACAACGTCATCACCAGAATCTTCAACCTCAGCGCACACAGCAGGCTCATCCCACTCCATCGTGTCTGCCACCGACACCGACGGGGATGAAGAAGACGAAGACGAAAAGGAAGAAAAACATCTAGCCACTACGGAGTTCGAACTAGAGCCGAATAATTCACGAGCCGTCGCTGCAGTCGGAGGAGTAGACGAATGTGAGAATCGACGTAGACTTAGGGTTAGGGAAGAGCGCGGCGGCTCAACCCGTACGTGCTGCTGTGATGGCTGCGATGGTGTGAAGAGGATAATAGGGTTTGAGGTGAGTGTGACGAGGGTTCGGAGCGATCCGAGAGTCAGATTTCGAGAAGAAGACAGGAATGGGATGAAGAGCATGGTGGCGCTGGTGATTTTCGTGCGGTTGCGGAACAATCTGTGGTGCCGCCACATTATCACCGAGGCCGGAGCATTACGCCGCCGTGTGTATCTGTCGTGGTTTTTGCGGCGTATGCGGTCTTATTGGGTTTAATATTCATTTTAAAAGTCAACAATACACTCGTCTTATTGTTCCCTTCAACGACTACATTTCTTCCCTTTTTTTTTTTTTTTTTTTTTATGTAAACTCTAATTTCATTGTTGTGGTTAAAGCACTCTTTGATAATTGTTAAATGGTTTGATACAAAATGATTTAATATCTTTTTTGATATAGTGTAAAATAAAATATAATTGTTTAGTAGTCATTGAGCACTGAATGATTAAGGGAGGCACTGAATACAAAATCATTCAAAGAGTTTTAGAACCATTAAGAGGTATATTTTTTTTTACCAAACAATATTCACATCTTAACGATTCAGATGATGTCTCTTAGTAGAACTATTAAGAGGTAAACAAACAACCGTTTAGTAAAATTTTTGAAAGTGCAATCTAAACTTTAACAATTATATAAATTGTTCTAGTGGCTCTCATTTGGCTTAAAAATGGTCCCCCATCAATAATTTTGTTAATTTTCTCTATTAGTATTAGGGGAACTTTTGTCATTTACTCATTTTCGTTTTATATATATACACACACACACACGCACACGCATCTACAAAACAGGAAAGACGAACTTTGGGGCTAAGCAAATAAAGATATTCGATATCCAAATAAAGCCCGATTTTCCCTGCCAACGAATCAGAACTCTATTGCCCTGTAATCTGGTTGTGATTTGACTCCAAAAATTCCGTTTTGTTGTCCTACTTGCTTTACTATTTGGAGTTGTAGGATGAGCATTTTCAATTGATTTGGTGGTGGATCAAAGGTTTTTTGTGTTATCTGTTGGAAAAGATGTTCAAACTTTGTTTTTCTGTTTGATCTGAACCTCGTGTTTGCGCTCTACCATCTGCTTGCACTCGAGGATTCTTACAAGTTGCGCGCCTCGAACACCATGATAAAGATGCATAATGAAACACATGTTCATGCATATATATATACTGATAGGTTTATGTTTCTTCACTTTTGACACTGGGCATTTTATCAAGGTGTTAATATACTTACATCTTTTAGGGTTGTGAGCAGGGGTGGTCGATTATTTTTGAATGAACCTCTATTTTTCTTTCTTAGGGGCCGTTTACTAAACACTTACTCGGGTAAGTGAATACCAAGTCATATTAGATTACCGAATGAATATGATAAGGACCAAGAATCTTACCCGGTAAGAGCGAGACAAGGACCAAAATTCTTACCCAGTAAGTGAGGACGAAGACTCTTACCACGGTAAGAGCTTACCAAGTCAATTGTTGCATACAATATCGTTTTGGTGGACTAAAATCTTACCTGATACGTAAATGATAGTGTCAAATTTGACCTGTAAGCGCTTAGAAGAAATGAGAAGTTCTAAGCATTAGAAGGTGCCACCTCATTATGTTTGGTTTCTCCTTTTATATATATATATATATATATATATATATATATATATATGTATGTATGTACGTATATATATGGTTATAAATTTATAGGTATAGTTAACTAAACCATCTAATTTTTAAAAAAATGTTACACAAAATAATCCATCTTACATAAATTATTAAACAGTCAATCGTTTAAGTTATCTAATTTAGGCATGGAACGAGCCCGGACGCGCTGAAAAACCCGGTCCACCCGCTCTGATCGAGGATGTCGATTCCCCACTAAACCAGAGACGGGGATCCTTGTTTGTTTCAAACCGGGGATGGGTATCGCACTCCTCGCCCCGCCCCGTACTTGTTATATATACACATTAATTAATAAATATTATACATATATTATTTATTTCAACTAAATCGGTATTTCATAATTTTTTATTTCCTTACTAGGTTTAGAATCTAAAATTGTTAATTTTTTGTGTTAGTATGTAATATTTTGGATGTCAAGTCAAAATACAATTACTCGATATGTCTTGGATATTTACTCGATGATTTTGTATTACACAATATGTTTCGTACATGTGACTGTTAAGTTTTTTTTGATGAAACTGAATTTCTTTTGATTTCAGGCTATTAATTATTATATGATATTGTGATTTTTTTGTATTTAAATTAAATTCATTTTGATTTTAGATATATCTGAAATATGTGAGATTTAAAAGTGTGTGGTCTCTCGTATATTTGATTTATAAATGCTTACATAAACGGGAAAAAAAATCCTTGTTCCCCCATTGGGTATGAGGATGAGGATGAGGATGTGATCATATTATCCAACGGAGATGAAGATAGAGATGAGGAATAGGGGACAGGGATGGGGATCGTGGGGCCCGCCCCATTTCTATGTCTAATTTAATTACATGGTTTTCTTTTTCGTCGAAAATAACTACTTATTATTCTCTTTTTTTTAACCAAATCTATTGTCATGCTAAACTTGGACTCTCATATAAAATATATGGTAATTATGTGTGTATTATTTGTCTGCAAAATAGAGGAAAAAGATGTTGAATGGAAAACTTCAAAGAGGTTGGTGAAATTCGTGTACCCCTTTCACGTCTTGCACGTTTTGAGAGACGTCATAAACTCAAACAAAAAATAAATACTACATTTACCCACCTCTCAATTACATGTAGTTCAAATAGTTTATATGTAAATGTGCTAGACTTTGAAGGAAAATTGAATTTATTAATCGGTCAGTACTTTCAAATCCAGAGAAGACATGATTAAAAATTCAATGTGTCSATACATTCATCGATCGAATCCCAACGTTTTGGAATTTAGAAGGTATTAAAAACTTTAGTGTTTTTTAACATTTTAAAAACACACACACACACACACACATATATATATATATATATAACTAATTACTTTATTCATTTATTTATTTTTTCCTTATAATAAATTACTTTCTTATTTAAATGCTTTGAAATTTATAAAAATTTTGAATTTTTATCTATTTTGTGATTCAACATTGTTACTGTAACGCGCGCACACACACACACATATACACACACCTACAATAACAATTATAATGATAATTAGTGTTTTTATATTTATCTTTTTCTAATTCTTATTTAAATGCATTGAAATTTATGACCTTCGTAATTTTAATTTTGACATTGCATGAAGGATTAACCATAATAAATGTTGATGAAGATTTGGAACACCGTACACCCATAAAAAATATTGTCTACCATCAAGTGTTCAATAACATTCATCCATTCACCGAATATACAAGGTAAGATTTTACTAAGGAACCGTTTACTAAACGTTTATCTGGGTAAGTGCTTACCAAGTCACATTGTCTTACCGGATGAATATGGAAATGACCAAGAATCTTACCCGGTAAGAGCGAAGACAAGGACCGAGAGTCTTATCCGGTAAGTGCATGTGGCGACTCTTACCATGGTTAGTATTTACCGGATAAATTGTTGCATACGATGTCGTTTTGGTGGACTAAAATCTTACCCAGTAAATGAGTAATAGCGTTGTCGGTAAACGCTTGCTGGATAAGTGTTTAGTAAATTGTCCCTAAGTTTATATATTCATATTCTACAAAATCCAATTTATATTATTTCTTCCCATACTTATTATGATTCTCACTACGCCTACAATGGTTAATGCAATTCTAATCCTAAAACATTGAAGCAGATAAAACGCCTTGAACACAATTAAAATGTAAATTGAAATCACTATTAGAGATGTTATATTTAAATGTGGAAACAATAACATAAATAATACCACTGCTGAAATAATACTCAGTTTATAATTTTGCATTCAGGATTTATGTCAGTAGGGACTTTGATAGTGTCAATTACCATTTTATGTTATGATGTACCTATCGATGTGTTTTGAAATTTAAGCATGTTCACAAAAAGCATCAGGTAGGTGATGTGCATTCGTATAGTAACGTCTTTTGATGTAACGGTGAAATTAAAGTTTATTAATATTCCTGTAAGCTAAGTTTGTGTCATAGCAACGCAAAATTACCAAAAGGAGCCGCTCATAATCTAACCCACATTCTCCAACTAAGGACGAAAAAGTCCTTTTCACGTATTAGTTTTTATTTATTTGCAAGTGATTAAAATTTCAACAAACTATTATAATTTATTGATCACAATATTTTACTAAATACATAACCAATGGTTGAGTAAGGACATGTGTCATTTGCTTTTAAAACCAACACAAAAGAAGCCTACTTATTTACTTTAAAACGTAGTTATTTTAACTTCCATGAATACCTCAGTATTAGCTAAGATTGCAGTTTATAGTTGATTTAAAACGGTTCTCCAACATTTGTTATCAATAGTTTTTTCTTGGATGACCATTTGTGATATTTGGTTCACTAGTTGATCTGGTTACGTTTCGATTTTATACACACTTCCAGACACCAATTTGTTCATTTTTATCAAATTATGTTTTGATGGATTCATCTATTGTTAGAAAAATATTGGTTTTCGATTGCTTGGATTCCACTGAAAGTCGTGTATCACTTTCAGATTGAAGTATTTCGATGGTACAATAGGAATTTCAATCGGATAAAATTCAGTGGATTTCCCGAACAAAGAGTTTTTCGTGTTATGAAATCTGTGTACCAAAAATCAAATGACCAAATCGTAGTTTTTCCCTCAAACGGTCGAAAAATGTCATACGGTAGTTAAAAAACCGGGTTTTCAAAACATAGTCAAAACCGGGTTTAAAATTTCAAATTCAAGTTTTTTGAAGCATTTTCACAAAGCAATATTACCCGAATAAAAAAAATTCAAACTGACCTGGCAACTCGACTATAGCCAGGGGCTTTGCCCTTTGGACCCCGCCACCACTTATTATTTATATAAGGCTTGGTATATCTTATATTGATGTTGATTTTAGATTTGATATTTGAAGTAACTATAGATTGATTAATAGAAAAGGATTTTACCCTCTATTTATCGTATTATTAAAAACTTTAAATCGGTCGCTCTTATCAATTTAAAATTATTATTAATCTTTTCAATTTTTACTTTTATATTAATTATTATTCAAATACTTGGTTATCAAAAAAAAAATATAACATTTTTAGAAATATTTTGATAAATTATATAAAAGTTAACATATTTATTTTTCTTCCATAAATAATAAAACTTTGATAAGTATTTTAATAAAATAATATAATTCATTTATTATTTTTGTGAGAAATTAATAATTGTTTAAGATATGTTAGGGGCCGTCTATCGAACGCTTACTCGGGTAAACACTTATGAAGTGACGTTACCTTACCAGATAAATATGATAAGAACTAAGAATCTTACTCGATAAGAGCAAAACAAGAACCAAAAGTCTTATCCAATAAGTGAGAGTGCCAACTCTTACCATGGTTTTACTGGGTAAATTGTTGCATCGATGCTGTTTTCATGGACTAAAATCTTATCCGGTAAGTAAGCGATAATGTCGAATTTCACGGGTAAACGCTTACTGGGTAAGTAATTAGGTAAAGGGCCTCTTAGGTAATGGTTAATTAAAATCATGATTTAATGTATATAGTGTCTAAAAATTTGTATTTTGTTATAAAATCCAAATTTATAATATTATAATATATATAGCAAATCAAATCAAAATTCTATTAATTAAAAACATTATATCATTAGTTATTTATTTTAAATATATTATGAAATGTTAAATTTACTAATTTTTAAGTACGTCATTTTTTTTATCATTTTACATTTTTAACTATTTATTCAGATGTAATTAGTTTGTTTATCAGCTAACAACTTATCAATTAGTTTGTCAAATGTAATCTTAGTAGCAAAAAAAACATTGGGTACCCTGGCCTCCATGACCCTCATGCCCCTCGCCACCACCGTTAACAATGTAAAATAACAAAAAAGTGAAGCCAATTATTTTAAATCGATATGGCCCACAGTTTTTTCCTGCCATGACTATGCTTTTAACAAAAACCTGGTCATAAACCGCATCTCGTTGAAACTCTATGTGGGTTGGATCGATTCACGAATTGATTTTAAGGATAGACACATACTTTTATTTGACTTAGGGGTCATTTACCTAAATACTTACCCAGTAAGCATTTACCGGTAAAATTCAACACTATCGCTTACTTACTGGGTTAGATTTTATTCACTAAAACGCATTGTATGCAACAATTTATCCCGATAAGCGCTAACCATGGTAAGAGTCATCGTCCTCACTTACCGGGTAAGACTCTCGATTCTTGCCTTCGCTCTTACCGAGTAAGATTTTTAGTCCTTGTCATATTCATCCGGTAAAGTAAAGTGAATTGGTAAGCACTTACCGAGTAAGCGTTTGGTAAACGACACCTTATTGGTTTGTAACCCGATCCAAAGTTAACCATTTCTAAAAGCTTACATATTAAACACTGTAATCAATTAATAGACCGTTATATGGACTTAATATGAAAAACGTGTAGTCTACTACTAGGCTTTAAGATTCTATTACATCAGATGCAATAATTACAATAAATACTACATCAAGGTTGTCGGCCCATGAAAATCGATGCCATAAAAAGGATATCTTTTAAGACGTCCCAAATTCAAATACTACAAAAACTCAAAGGACGTTTAATAAGGAATAACGAGGATAAAGTTAAGAATAAAAATCATTAATAATATATTAAGGGGTGTTTGGAATTGCTTATAAAATCAACTTATTGACTTATTTTCGTGTGACACCGGTAATAAACACTTTTGAGTGTTTGGATAAACATCTTATACCAGTGTCAAACGGGTAATAAGAAGTTTTTGAATAAGTTAAATCATTCTACCTTATAATAAGTTAATAAAGACTTTTGTAGAAAATAACAAGTTGTTTCAAATAAGCAATCCCAAACACCCCTAAAACAAACTAAGAGGCCGTTTACCCAAATGCTTACCTGGTAAGCGCTTACCAATAGAAGTCAACACTATAATTTATTTTGATGCGTAAAGTTTTAGTACATTAAAACATATCAAATGCAATAATTTATTAGGCAATCGTTTACCTGAGTAAGAGTCTCCATCCTCACTTACCGGGTAAGACTCTACATTTTTCTCAGCGCTCTTACCCGGTAAGATTATTGGTCATTCTCATGCTCATTCAATAAGACAATTTATGCGTTAAACACTTACTACGTAAGTATTTAATAAACGACCCCTAAAACAATCCCTTGGTTCCTTCAAACCCGATTATTTTGTACCTTTCTTGTCCGAAGTTGGCATGACACCAACTATGGAATGTGGTTGAAGACAAAAAAAATGTACCTTCGCCCTCATGGTAAGACTTAGGTGGTCCATCATCCACCAAATCAAATCTCTAAAGACTCACAAAAGGACAGAAGTACAGTATAAAAAATTAAGATAAAAGTAGACTCAAATATTTAAATAAATAAATAAAACCCCAATCTTCATAAAAAAACCATCTCAATCCTGTGGCTTTCATTTCTTTATGCCGTACTCTTGAGTTGGGTCTTTGCTTCTCTCTCTGGTTCCCCTTGGCAAATCTATTTCTTACTTTTCGAGATCCTTCGTTGAATCAATCACTGTAAGTCTATCGATCACTTCTTGTTAAGCTGTTTCAATTTCTAAACCCTAAGTATTTTGCATTTTAATGTGAAACATTTCATCGACATTTATGTATGTTTCAGTGTATAGCGTTTGTACGATGTTCAAATGGCGGGATTTTGTATGTTTTTGGTGTATTTAGGGGTTTACAGTGTGAGACGGTGTTAGTTAGGTGAAATGCATTTGCAATTTTGTGGATTTGGTGTGTATTGAGAGGGTTTATTGCGTATACTCATATTTATGGAAATTAGGGTTTCTTGGCGAATGTATGTGCACGTGGTTTGTGAGAAGGAGAATAATGTTGATTTTTTTTTTGTGTATTGATGCGTGTTTCAGAGGAGGAATCATGAACAATGAAGAAGAGAAAAGGTGTCCTCTGTGTGCAGAAGAGATGGATTGGACTGATCAACAATTAAATCCCTGCAAATGCGGTTACGAGGTTTGGATTTGCAGTTATGGAGCATTTATTTGCTCCTAAGTTGGTTTATTTGGTCCTGGCTTGTTTTTTTTTTCCTTCCAATTGTGCAGTTTTTTTTATACAGGTTATGCTATTTTGTTAGAATACTTAATGTGGAATGTTAGTTAGAAGGAGACGCAGTCTATTGCTGATACCATCATCCATCAAATTATGGTATTTGTTGTAGTAATGTTTTTCCTTGATATCCATTGCTTGGCACATTTAGTTGATGTCCATCTATGATTGTTGAGGGCCACGGGACCTCAGAGTTTGTAGATACTTGTATTATATCTTTCATCCTTTATATAACAGGTTTGGGAACATTTAGGTTCTATCTTTCGTTTAAATTTTTAATGGTAATAGTCCTGTCAAAATTTCCTCTAGTTTCTCTTAAGATGCAGCATTGTATGAATGGTCTGGTATTTATATTTGAAGACTTACTCTCATACTATATACAATAAGAAATGAATCAATAGCATTGGATCCAACTTGAAGTGTTTGAGTTTGCTAGGGCATTGCGTTACCATGAGAATTTGGCAAGCATTGTCTAGTGGGTTAAAGCAAACACTTTTGCAATGAGAACGCCTTCATTCGCAATCAAATTATGTGAAGGCAATAAACTTTAGCATCTTAGGTAGGCTGATTGTAGATACCTGAAGCTGGAAAAATCGTCATTGTTTTTAGTCTGGTTACGTAGATAGAGAAGATGGAAAATAGTATTTCTTCGAGTAATGATGCCAATATGGCATTAATGCTGCATAATTTCAGGCTATTAATTCCCAGTTATGGTAACTTGGTAATTTGGCTCTGCAGATAGATCCCTTTTGAATTTTATATTTGTAGAAGCCATTAGCAGTAATGCCCGACGCATGTCCATTCCTGAACTGGATCCTATATCATTATTTTTAGAGAGGTCTTATAGTATTGACCTGATGGTGGTGGTGTTTGAATGGTTGGTCTGGCCTAATTTTTTGAAACTTGCATTAAACTTTCTCTTGTAAATATTTCCCTAATTGTTTGATTTAATGAATCCTTCTGAGGTTATTTTAGATCTGCTAGATATTTTATACCACGTATGGTTTTATAGTACTTCTGTGGTTTAGTAGCACATGAGTATCAAAATTGTAGTAGGTGGTTCTTTTGATCTTGCATTCCCTGTTACACTACCAATGCAGGTGTGTGTTTGGTGTTGGCATCACATAATGGACATGGCTGAGAAGGATGCAACAGAAGGGCGTTGTCCTGCATGTCGGACACCTTACGATAAGGATAGGATTGTAGGGTTGGAAGCAAATTTTCAAAGGTCACATTATGGTCCGGTATCTGTATATATCGTTACATTACATTTGATGTGGAGATTTATAATGCATGCTTCTTGCACATAGGGTGGCTGCCAATTGTGCAAGTCGAAAACAAAAACTTCCAAAGGCAAAGCCAAAACCAAATGAAGGAAGGAAGGACCTTAGCAATGTTCGAGTAATTCAGCGAAGAATGGCATATATCATTGGACTGCCTCTTGATCTTGCGGATGAAGAAGTATGCACCTCTTAATTTGTTTCTTATTATGTTTATGTGCTGTTCCATTTTGAGCGTGGATGTTCTGTTTTCATAACTATGGAAGTTCTTATTTCCCTTCTAGATTTTATGTATCATTGTTAATAAGTTACTTCTTCTGGTGCAGCTATTGCAGCGAAAAGATTATTTTGGCCAATATGGAAAAGTTACAAAGGTTTCCCTTTCTCGAACGGCGGGTGGTGCCGTTCAGCAGTTTATCAATGATACATGCAGTGTGTACGTTTTACGGTCTTAAATTTTCATATTTAAGTTGCTCTTATACTGCTTCTAGGGCTAAACATCTACCTCATTGATGGACGAGTTTAGTTGCGGATAAGAAAGAGTGCTGGCAGCTTTGTCCTGCTTTTAAAGATAATATAGGAGTCTTATATTTTCTTGTCATATGCAGTTTATATTGGTGTCCTTTCAGTCACATCAAATCAGCAGGCTTCTTACTTGCTTATTTAATTATAACCTTATTGCCTATTTTGTACTTCTTTTGTTTCTTTATCTATCCTACCATTTAGTCACCTACTAGGTATTTCGCATAACAAGGGTATGTTGCTGTGACCTGTGAGTAATTCCCAAAATCTGTTTTCCTAAGAATTGTCGAGGTGCTTTGTTTAACATGTTTCATTTCCTGTAATCATTTTATGTGATCTATCTACATGATACAAGGATAGATGATGGGGTCCACTAAATGAAAATGAGAAATGAAGGAATATTGGCTAAACAAATGAAGGCTTCCATTTCAACTTCCATTCCCATTGTTTGGACGCTTCCATATCAATAATGGAAATGAGAAAAGGTTGATCCTGATACCCGAGGCTCCTTGTTTTGGGAGAACTGGGGTATGAAGTTGTATGCTGCTTTTTCTTGCGTGTTTGCGAAGAGCTATTTTCCTTTTTCAAATTTGTGGTCTAATGATCACAAATATACCTTAGCCTGCCAAATGCATCATATTTGTCTGTAGGTGCAGACAGCATCACAATGGTTTTGTATACATCTCTACCTCTTATTGGGTAAAGGCAGAAAGTCTGATTTCTTAGATGAGTTTATATGTTCTCAGCCTCTTTATCCCATTGTCTTCCTGAGGTAATGCCTTTGTGCCTACCCCTTGAAAACATAGATGGTCCATGCTTTGGACCATGACTCACTGCTATGACTCTATGTTAAATTTTGATTTGCTTTTGTGTTTCCCCTTTTGCTGTTTATCATACTTGTTTTGGCTTATAAAGTAGTTCTACTACAACATAATGATGTGGTCCCTAATGTAGGTTGCCACTAGTGTACAGATTATGTTGTTTGGTTAAGGATATTGTTGTCTTGTTTAAAGGTTCACCAACCATATGTTAATAAGCACACTGTTAGGTTGGAATTGTATGAGCCCTTTCTTCTCTCCAGTATGCATATTATCTGTATGGTCGTTTGAAGATGGCTAACCACTTGATTGAGATTTCCCCCCTTCTTTGTTCTCAGATATATTACTTACTCCAAAGAGGAGGAAGCAGTGAGGTGCATTCAATCTGTGCATGGTTATGTCTTGGATGGCAGGCTGTTAAGGTAACCACAGCACCTTCTATCCCCTTTTCACTTGTATTTATGTGCAATTGTTATCAGACATTTATAGTCTTGACTACCATTTCAAATTCAATTTTTGCAGAGCATCATTTGGGACTGCAAAGTATTGCCATGCATGGTTGAGGAATATGGTATATATGAGATGATGAATGCATCAACTTATTATTTTAGTTTGATTTCCTTTGGGAATTTTCGGTTCAGAATATAAATAGAAGTTAACATGAGATTTCCTTTTGATGGCCAGCCTTGCAACAATCCTGCATGTTTATATTTGCATACTGTTGGTGCTGAAGAAGATAGTTTTGGCAAAGATGAAGTAGCTGCAGTTCATACTAGGTATTACATGCAGAAATTCGATTTCCTTTTCATTTTCTCTCGTTATAGTTTATATTTGTTATGTCGTATCTGTTAAATTTTCTGAGATAGTGTGACTGCAAATTTAAAATTGTTATATTGATGTGCCATTGTATGGAAGACTGGCAACATTTAGCTAGTTTTAACTCTTAACAGGAAAGAGATTCTTTATAAGATCTGCTAGTTAAGTTTCTCATGCGGTCCTTGTGAATTTTTAGTTATTCTTTCCTGCTTTTGCTCATATTTTTTGTTGTTTTTTATTGCTGGTTCAAAAAAGTTTCAAGTAACATGTCTTGGGCTGACTTGAATGATGTTCCTTTTGCCTCAAAATCTTCTATTCAGGAATAGGGTTCAAGAAATAGTTGGTGCGACCCAATATTTGCATAGACGCTCTGGAAGCATGTTGCCACCACCTGTAGTTGAGCAATTAAATAACCACAGTGCTACTGCTGAGGAGCCTCTGTGTAACAATGGCCTGAAAGTAAGAGATTTACAGTTACCTCTTGTCTTATTTATCTTTTACCATTTGCAGCAGTCTGAAAAATGAGTTGATGATTAGGACCTCAGAAATCAGTTATGCTCTTATACATATATGGGCCAACTTTCTTCTAATTGTTAATAGTCATGTTTCTTCTACCATTTATAATGCCATACATAACATATTGCTTGGGATTTTCTGTCATAATTATTCATGATCTTTTTGTTCAGGATGTAGCTTATGCACCGGTAGCTTCAGGTGATCACTTGTCTTGTTCTAAGGAGAAGGATGGGTCTATCAGATCGTGCAAACAAATGGCAACGTTTGTAGATATTGTTGGGCGGTCATGTAATTCAGGTTCCAATAAAGATGTGAATTCAGATGAAGAAGAGCGGATATTGAACTTATTCTCTGATAGTGACCGTGTCGAGACCGAATGCTCAGATTCGATGCTATTGAAATCACCAGCTCCCAGCCAATTTGATAATGCAGCATCAAGGAGCAAATTATATGGCGAGCCTTTCAGGGAAGCTTCAAAACTGCTTTCGGTAGAACGATCTAATTCAAGTCTTGATGAAACATGCATCACAAAAGAACAATTTGGTCTGCCAATGGATTCCGGAAGACAAGTACTGCATTCTCCATTTAATACTACAACAGAAGATTCACTAACTTTTGATGACCAAAGATCAAAGAATTCCTTTAGATCAAGTCATAAAGTTTCTCTCCTTCCTTCTTATCCTGCCGAGACAACTAAGAACTGTAGTGATAATTCTTGGTGGCATACTGACTATCATAATCAGATTAGTGCAGAACCTGTACATAGCTATGCAGATCAAGAAGATCGTATACCGTCCCCGTATATAAGTTCAGTATTATTAAATGATGGGTACAATGAGAAGAAGTTCCAAAGTTCAGCTAAATCTGATAGGATATACAGGTGCTCTAATTCGTTTTCTAATGAAGAAATCGTAGAGCACTTGAGACGGCTTGATCATGAGACCCTGGTGAATAATGATGAAAATTCTGCTGCTGTGGAAAGCAGTATAATATCTGACATTTTGGCCATGGATTTAGATGGATCTGATAATTCAGCTTTCCCACAAACAGTAGCTGGACTGTTTGAAGCAAGAGATGGGCGGCATGGTTCTTTGCGAAATTTTCAAAATAATGATCAATCGAGATTCTCATTTGCTAACAAACATGGATTTTCTGGTCAACAAAATGACTTGGGCTCTCCTTCTAGCAACATTGGTCAAGAGCTGAATTTTCCTGTTCTTCAGGATTCTTGCGAGAACAAGGACCATTTGTACAAGTCCCAACATCATGGTATGTATAGCTCTCGCATATGCATACACACATTTTGCTCTAGAAGCTTTACTCAAGTGTATAGTTTTCAGGATTTTTGTTTCTGTTTTCTTACTAGATTATTTGTGTTTATTCTGATACATTCTTCTTTTATTTCTTGTGTGTGATAGTTTGCTAGAACTGACCATCTTGTCCATGCTCACATACCATCAATAGCTTGGTTAACAAATTGCTGTTTCTATGACATTTGATTTTTCAGTTATCGCTACTCCATGAATCGTTTATCTTCATAACTGCATTTGAATTACTCCATGTCATGTATACAAGTTTTTGTACTTCTACACCTCACTTGATTACCTTGAGCATCATCTATGTCTGGGGTTCTACCAATTTAGTTTAAATATGGGTTTTGGTGCTTTCTATTTATTATCTTAATAAATCTCCTTATTTATTATATTGTTTCAAACAATAGCATCTAGGGCTCCGAACTCAATGCCACCAGGATTTTCCATGCCCAGCAAACCCCCTCCTGGGTTTTCTGCCGCTTGCTTGAGAACTGAACAGGCTATTGCTGCCAGCTCTGGTAAGCAATCTCTTTGAACCCCATCTCTCTGTCTGTATATTTACTTGTATATGTTATGTATGCTCCTTTTGTCTACAAAATATTACAGAACTTCGATTTTGGGATGCCCCATCCGACATCTCCTTTTTGGTGTTTTCAAGCTATAGTTACATATTTACCAACTGTCATCACCAGAAAGAATTTGTTGGTCGTTTTTGGTGTTTATTTGTCATTATTGATGTGCATACATGATTAATGGTAAAACACTTGCATCAAACTAGATGCCGAGTGAAATGTTGCTAACCCCCATCCTTTTCAAAAGCAATGCAATGTTTTCACTGGACACATAGTTTAATGGAAGTATTAGACTATTTGCCAAATATATGAGATATCTTCTACACAGGGGCTAACACGAAAAACCAGCAAACCATCCTAAATCTTACTGAAACCGATGCTTTGAATACTTGAGTGGTTCAGTTTTAGTCAGTTTCTTTGATTAAAAAGATGGGTTTTGGCTTTTATAAATAGAATCAATTACCATAGTTGTGTGTGGGCTATATATACACATCGTATTTATTACTTTTAGTATTTTCTTAAAATGTGGGAAGTGCAAATCCCACAAAACTTAAGACTTCAGAAGAGTTAGGTAAAAAGTTCAATTTCAAACACTAAAAACTACGAAGCTTGATAAGTTAAAGAAGTTCTAACAAAGTCACAAAACCTAGAAAGGCACAAAACACAGGCCCTTGACTCGCAAAAAGTCAAAACCTGCTCGCCCGGCACCGTACTTTTATGGTCCGAGTTGTTCGACTCCAGGTTGACCACATAGGCACAATGTAATGCTGATGCAAGGTCTAGAGGTTCACCAAGAAAGCATCATTAACTGAATACTCTTACGAGTAATGTATTGTTCTGAATGTTATATTAGGTCTCTCTTATATGTTGTAGAAGTTTCATGAAACATGTAGAAGGCTTACACAACTTTCATGGTTGTTGGAAGGGTGGGTACCTCATTTCTGATCGAGAAACATAAAACAATAAACTACCAAGTGTTTCTTTGAGTGTCTTCCATATTATTTAGTGTTCTTTTTAAGGCTTTCTTGGCACAACTGAACATAAAATATTGTTGCTAAGGTTGCATGAAGCTCGAGAAAGACAATCCCTTTACATTAGGCCATGATATTTATGAAAAAAGTAAATGTTGCATTGTGATGTTCATTATATCATTCATCAAATTTGTTGTGTTGGGATTGTGTCATAGCTATATATATATATATATATATATATATATTGTTATTTGATAAAAAAAAGAATATATCATGTGAAAAGTTTTTGGATATTGGATGTTTTCAGACATAGATGACCCTAATTGAGACTATTCTTGTTCTTTCGTGTTTCTTCAGGAAGATATGTCAGGACTGGATATCATTATCGTTCGCCATCACTTGGGAATCTAAGCAATAGCAGCGATGATCTTGTTGATCCTGCTACAACGGTTGGTGGAGGCAAATCGTCAACAAATGGGCTGACCAACTCGTGGACCTCATCCTTTTCATCTCGATGCTCTAGCTCATTTGATGAGGACACAAAACACTGGTCTTTCATGCAACAACAATCTGCAGCTGCCACGGCTATACATCATGAGCCTCAATTTTCTCAAGCTTCAATGCAACAGCAGCAGCAACACCACACTCCCCAACAGCAATTTCCTTCTCATGATGATTTTGGTAGTGGTCTCACTTCTGGGCTAATGGATCTGCACCACCAGAGCTATGACCCATCTTTATTCACCCAACAGCCAAAGTTTGGAAACGGGTATCATCAGCATAACCAGTTGCAGTTGCAGTTACAATTACAGTTACAGCAGGAGGGTCAGCAACATGCTCCTAGAAGTGAGGTAGAAAGAGGATTTGGGTTTGAAAGTTTGTTGCCTGGTTATGGTGACTATATGTTCCAAATGCCCACTTCGGGCGATGTATACACCCGGGTGTTTGGAATGTAAAGAATCCCACCTCTTCTGTTTTGATGAAATGAAATGAGCAGGTTACTCTCAGTTCTGTGTGTGTATTAAAAAGAGCGAAGTTTGGTTGTGCCAATCTCATGAAAATTGCAACTAATTTTGTTGTTTCATTGTTAATTGCAATATGTCTAGGTAAAATTACATGAAAACCAAAACATAAGTTTACACCGTTTAGAGGATCGACAAATAATGTGTGCATGTACCCATCTTGCTTTAGGGTAACTTTGAGTTTGAATTCATTGAAGTTTGAACGTTTTCTGATATGGTTTTCTGGTACGGAAAAGGTCCTATATTGCATTTGAACATCTTTGCTGAGGTTTGCATAATACATGATGCATTAGAAACTTGAACATCCATGGAACAGCCAACTGGGATGAATCCCATTATTCAAAGCAGTGATTATAATGAAACAGAAGGAAATAGAGATGGGATGGTAAGAAGTTGTAAAAAACAACATGAAGTCATTTGTTGTATTGTTTATACACACAAGAGTCGAAGACAAAAGCAGAGAAATGAATTGTGTGACATATTATGATTATTATTATATGCCAGTGATTACTACCAACAGACGTGGTTTTAACCATTTTGGTTGGTGAAGTAGTGGGGGGAAGAAATACCCCCAGGCGTAGGCATCAGGATGGAAGCATCGTGATGAAAAGCCTTGTTATTTGATGATGAAGAGAATCCTGATGATGCTGCAGTAGATGAAACAGAAACTGGAAGTTGAAGAGACACACCATGTCCTCTCAGCATTTGAACCTGCCATGCTGAGTTTAAAGGAACCACGCTTGCACCTTCCTTTCCCATTGCTATTCCCTGAACGTACTTGTAAAATTAGTTACTACATTTCATCATCATATCCTTCAAAATTTGGGGATTTAAAGACATCAATGTCAGTTTAGTTTGCAGAATTTGGAACTGGATTTTCATTCCAATCTCTGTTTAGTTTAAATGGAAATCATTGGAATCCCATGGGGTAGCTAGTATTATCTGGGATTTCATAAGATTTATATGTAATGTTCTAAAATATGTTAAAATCACTTGTTTTGTAATAATTAATTAATAAAAAGATAATTTAATCATTTATATTCAATTTCATTTCAAAAGCTACAAACAAAACATATTTCAATCTTTCCAGGGAATCCAAATTTCACAAAAACATTCCGTCAAACCAACGGAGCCTAAGTTCTCTACCATGGTAATCGGTATTCAGTTAAAAGAAGTAGTGGTTTTTATACAAATCGATCTTTCTGATTTTGCTTATAGATTGCTCAATGACGATGATTGGTTGTTTTTATACTACAGTATCCATGTTAATATGGATCAGATTAGTTCAAATAAAAGATTTGGCAGATCATATAGTCGGGGACAACTAGCCATAGTTGAATAATTAATTATTACCTCATAATTTGGTATGAAACCAGAATACATGCTAGAAGTAGGCCATATGGGGTAGTGCTTGGATACTCCCGTGTGTCCACCCATACAAGCGGGAACACGAGTCTGGACCTGCAAATGGGGGATGAAAAGTCATCACTTGCATGCTAATCATGTGAACACCTTTTCCAACATAAATATGCTACAACTTGTATACAAACAAAAGATTTCCTTAAATAGTAGCGGAGGCAGGCTACCTTATGCTAAAACCCTTGTTGCCACACAAAGCAGTCGAGAAAATCACAAAATCTGAACTCTACTATAGATGATAAAAGGAGTGCCATAACTACAAAATTGCAGTCTCTTTCTTGCATGCAGCAAACGATCCATAAATATAAACGGGCATTTCTATATGATACTATTTCTACCATTTCACATACCTTGAGTCTTTTCTCAGAAGGTAATTCACAAGCTGTAAAGCACATATCCATCTTCTGAACATTGTCATTCCCCTTTTGACTGTCTGTAGTGGGAGAAACCCAAAGGTTGAGATCAAGATTGTGACCACTTGCTGCAAACAAATGGAAATTTAATAAGGAATGTAGACATCAATGGACTGTTTTAACGTTCAACTCCGGAACGAACGAAAACAGAAAGGAACGACAGAGAACTTATACACAAAGAATACCTTCATCCCTGGCTTCCAAACTTATATCTGTTCCATAAATGCTTGGGTCAAAGTTGGTGACGGCTTCCCTGCCATTGCATTTTATAGCAGCTTTGTCATAAGCCCTGAATTCAGAAAACACAAATTACAAACGTTGGATAATTTCCTGAGATGTTTTAACACATCATGTTTCAAGGATTATGTAAGCATAAAATTGCAAGAACCTTGCAGCTTCTACTTCGTTGTCGAATAATCCAAGGTAAACATACCTGCAAACCAAGCATTGTAATCTTGTAGATAAAATAGGGTCCTAAGTGCATTTACGATGAAAATATATTTTAAGAACCTAATGAGAAAGTATACTACTACTTCAAGCGTTGTATTTCATCTACCGAGCATCAAGATCACAAAATAGTTTCAGGAATGGTCCTTACTTTTTCCCAAGAAGCTGACCCATGCGAGCCTCCCATCTGCCACATTTATGAAGGGTTACTCCCCGGTATTTTGAACTTCCTCGTGAGAATCCAGTGCTCTGCCTACGCAGTATATGGATGAATTCTTCTTTAGACAAATTTTTAACCTGTTGCATCAATTTGGAGAAGTTAACCCTACAGTAGTCGAAAGTTTCAGGCCAATCAGACAGAGTATCTAAGAAATTCTCACCACCTGTGTCATATCTTCCTCATATTCGTTTATATGAAAATTGATATCAGCATCAATTCCCCGGAACTTGATAGCAGCCCGGTCGTAGGCTCTAAATTATAATTATTCAATCAAGTCAAAACCACATTAACAAAGAGTACTTAAAATGACAAGAAAAAGGAACCCTAACCTAGCTGCAGCCAGGGCAGTGTCAAACCCACCTGTAATTAGATATAATTGTTAATATATAATTGTAGGTTCAAACAATATAAGGGATATCAAGCAGGCTGCTTACCTAAATAAACTTGTTTCCCACAATCCCTGAACGGAGGAAAAACAAAAGATCCAAATGATTATTATCAAATAGGACAACAATAGACATTCAGAGCTTTGCCAATTTTACAATTATAGCTACCTCCACACACAATTTATTGATCCAAATCCCAGTTCCAACTGGAAATAGGGCACAAATGAATGAATGATATATGTGGCGTTGCTTAACATTGTTTGTATTTTGATTGGCCAGCGTTCCAATTTTATAGTATTCTGAATAGGAAAAGTAATAATAAGTTCAGTTGGCCAATTAAAACTTCCCAAATTAGAAAGAGAGTGCACTATACCAGATATGTGATTCCCATCTACCAGTCCGACGATAAAACGTCACACCACGATACTGTGAACTTCGAGACCTTGGTCCCCGCCGGCTTTTCTTGGCCTGCTGCGGTGCCGGCGACGGCACTTGCAGGTGTTGTGGAGCCTGCGCAGGTTCCGGAACCATGAGATTCAACCAGTGCGATCCAAGCATAGACGTTGCCAACGGCGATGATGTTATTGATCGAGAACCTAACTCCTCGTCCTCCAACTCCAATTCGACAACCGGAAAAAACTGCCTCGTAGTCAAACCACCAGATGTTCCATTAGAAATCTCTTTCGCGTATCCTGGTCGATCAACGATACCGAAATGATAAGAGCGCTTCTCGATATTTCTATAAGCAGTATACGATACTGCGTCTTCGTCGTCAGCGTCGGCAGCATTGGCGAGCGGAAGATCATCGTCGGCGTTTAAAACGTCTGATGAAACTGAAGTACCGGAATGAATCTCCGACTGACGATCTTCCAAAACGTTCTCCTTACTCTCAAAATCAACCCGATCGCAATTATTACCAGAATCATCAAAAGACACTGCTACATCAGTATTAAGATCCAACATCTTCAATACACCAATATTCGTATAGATTGCAAAAATGAACTATATATATGTATATATACACAGCTCGATTATACAATCAAACCAATCACTTTTTCAGCATTTTTGATTCATGAGCGCTAGTTTTGGATCGAATCAAAACTCAAACACACAGTGAAAAGGTGTAACTGTGTGAGAGAGAAACAGTTGAGATCTAAGAGACATCAGATATTTCGGGAGGCAGGGGAAATCCAACAAACCTTTTACACACACAAACACATTTCAGTGTGTGTAAGAAGCAGAGAGAGAGAGAAAGTCAAAGAGAGATGGTTGGTTTTTAGAAGGAGAAATAATACTGAAGGTGATATAGAGTTGCACAAAGCGACATCGTTTCGGTTTTCATTAGAAAAAGCTTAATTTGGATTTTGCGACTTCTATTTGTATTCGCTGCAACTTGCAAATCTTTTAATAAATATTAAATTATTTTTCTTTAAAGTTTCATTAAATATTTAATTTAATGCAATGATGATATTGGTTTGGATTTATAGAATTCTACTTTATCACAAAATATTCACTAGATTGTTTATTTACATTTTAATTGTTTTATTAAGAGATAATATTTGAATCATTAAGAGGTGAATCTTGTTTGATAAAAAAAAGTCTGCCTCTTAATGGTTCTAAAACACTCTGAATGATTTTGTATCATAAGCCTCCCTTAACCATTAAGCCTCCTGATTTCATTGTAAACAATTACCAAATAATTATATTTCATTTTGCATTATATAATGAAAGTCTCTTAATCATTCTGACCACTTAATCATTCTGCACCAAACCATTCAACAACTGCCTAACAACCCCTTAGATGTGGTTTCTGTTTCATATCACACCCTGTAAGTCGTTTATCTAATGTTTATCTGATAAATATTCATCGATTCATTTATTTGACCAGATGAATATGACAAGTATCGAGAATTATACCTGGCAAGAATAATGAATGATGACAAAGATCAAAAGTTTTACCCGATAAACGAGAGTAAATACTCTTATCTAATTAACGTTTAACGGGTAAATTGTTGCATACAACACTATTTTTGTGTATTAAAATCTTACCCGATAAAATAAATGATAGCGATGGCTGTCATTAATAAACACTTATCAGATAAGCTTTTAGATATATGATTTAAGTATCTGAATTTAAGGTTGCAAGTTTGTTACTCTGTATAGACTAGGGATGTGAGACCAAGGGTTTTTCGTGAGACTCGTAAGACCAATTCTCAACCCTTGGATTAGATCTACAATCTGAACATTCATAATCACAAAATTGCCACGAGACTTCTCAATAATAATAAAATTGACACCGTGCAACTTTGGACCATTAGATCATTAACTTATAAAGTTGATCAATGAACATAAATTGGTCTTACGGGTCTAACGAAAAACCATTGGTCTCACGTGAACCCAACCCTGATTTAAGTTATCTTTTTCAATCATATTATACAGAAAATTAAGCTTTCATATCCAACTAAATAACTTGATTTATATATCTCAATTAAATACAAACTATGAAAATACTACAAATCAATTACAATTGTCCAACTAGTCTAACTGTGTATATCGTTTTCTGAACATACTGATTGTTGTCTAATATAAAACATTGATCAAAATTAATGAACTCTAATCATCTTTCATAAATATTCAAATTATAATAAACTAACCTTTATCATTTCCATAAATATTAATTTACAGGTTTGTAACATTGAAATGTTTGCATTTAATTTGCCATATATACATAGGGGCTTAATCAAATGAGAACTGTTTGTTTGTGGTAATCGTAAGATCCAATCTCAACCACAAATCAAATGTTAAATTAGAAAATTAATAATTTTAGTAATTTTAACTTAAAATATTAATTAAGAGCATTTTAGTGATTTTATAAATATCATCTTTCATCTTTCCTCTTTCTTTTCTTTGGCGAATCTTATATATATATATGTATATATAGGGTTGGGTTCACGTGAGACCAAAGGTTTTTCATGAGACTCGTAAACCAATTTATGTTCATTGATCAACTTTATAAGCTAATAATCTAATGCTCTAAATTTGCACGGTGACAATTTTGTGATTATTAAGAAGTCTCGTGGCGTTTATGAATGTTCAGATTATCTGACTGTAGATCTAATCCAATGGTTGAGAATTGGTCTTACGGGTCTCACGAGAAACCCTTGGTCTCACATGATCCCAAGTTTGTATATATATGTATGTATGCATATGTATGTATGTATGTATATAGGTTGGGTTCATGTGAGCTAAACTGTTTTCGTTTGACAGCATTTTTATACTTGAAACTTCACAGCAAAACAATGTGAAAGTAAAAAGAAGATGAACTTTCACAGAAAAAATAATTGTGAATGTTACCTTAAGAGTGTTTTGTTGTAAAGTTTTAAGTGTAAAAATGTTGTCTCACGTGTCTCACGAAAACAATTTTATTTCACATAATTGTAAGTGTGTGTGTATATATATATATATATATATATAGGGGCAGGTTCAAATGAAAACCATGCAATTCTAAGAAACCGTGTAAACCAAATTCGACCAATAGGAAAATTCCATTCTTTTTTAATTAAATTTAATCAATAAGGGTATTTTGGTCATTTTCTATATTTTTATGATAAATAAGGTAGTTATTAATAAATATTAAATAAGGAAATTTAATAATGTAAATTTCTTGAATGGTAACATATTAAAAATTTTAATATATTATAATATTAAAAAATTGATTTGAATGGGGCATTCATAATGAAAATGTTTCATAATGAAACTGTTTCATATGGGGCGAACTTCATATGGGACGTTCATATGGGGCGAACTTCATTCCTAAAGTTCATGAAACTGTTTCATATGGGGCAAATTTCATGAAACTGTTTCATAATGAAAAAGTTCATAATGATGAAGCATGTTCATAATCTAATACTCTAGGCATATTGTCCAAATTAATACTCTAGGCATATTATCCACTTTAATGAAAAGGTTTCATGWAACTGTTTCATAATGAAAAAGTTCATAATGATGAATCATGTTCATATGAGTGGAATAAGGAAAATGAACTATTGATGCAACGGTTTCATCAAACGTTTCAAAACAGTTGAAAAATCGAAATAATATAATCTCTCTATTTCCTAATRAAAATATTGTAATGAATAGTTTCATAAACAAAGTTCAAAAAACAATGGTCATGAAACTCTTACAATGTGAAAATGTTTCATTGTAAAATGGTTTATTTGCTCCGTCTATGCATATTATACGTGTTAATGAAATAGGTGCTTTGTGATTGAAGTTTCATGGTTATHYTTGTTGCTTTGTGATTGAATGTACATCTAGGTTCATGATGATCCATGTTGCTTTGTGATTGAAGTTGATCTGTTTATTTGGTAGGATGAAAATGAAACGGGTGCATAATGTATTGTGTTCTTTTATGAAATAAATATATGATGAAATGGGTGCATATTATATTTTGTTCTTTATGGAATTAATGTTAATGTGAAAAGATTTCATTATAAAATGGTTCATTGATGTTATATTAATGTTAACTTTTGTTTTTGGAATTAATGTTATATTGATGTTAACTTTTGTTTATGGAATTAATATTATATTGATGTTAACTTTTGTTTATGGAATTAATATTATATTGATGTTAACTTTTGTTTACCAATTTGCCCTTATCATTGAAATAAAATAATTTTTTAATATYTTTWATTTTTTAATTTCCTAAAATAAAGTAAACTAATCTTAACCATTGATCAAGAAAATGGACGGATGAGATTGGTTTACACGGTTTACACAAATGGGGCAACTTTTTATTTGAACGCTCCTCTATATATATATAGAAGAGCGATCAAATGAAAACCACTCTAATTTGTAAAAACCGTAAAAACTACTCTCATCCATCGTTAATCTTATGCAATTTTTTCATGAAATTGTTAATCTTGTGAAATTGTTTCATATAATACTTTTTTTGATGAAGTTGTTTCATATGTGGTTATGAAATTGTTTCATATAATACTTTTTTTGATGAAGTTGTTTCATATGTGGTTATGAAATTGTTTCATATACTACCTAATGAAATTTTAATGAAATCGTTTCATGTATTTCTCTAAAATTAAAAAAATGAAGATGATAATATCCATGATTAACACCTTCCACAATAAAAATGGTTAATCAACATATCATAATTACAAAAAAATGAACAAAATGAAAAATTATGATTGGTTGAATGAGGTTTTCACGGTTTTTACAAATTGAGTGGTTTTTATTTGAACCCACCCCTATATATATATATATATATATATATATATATATATATATATATTATATTATGGTATAAATGCACAAAAATTAAAAAAAAAATCAAAAAAAATCAATCTGTCCACTTGACCCTGATGCATCTTAAATACAACCACCAATTAAACTGGGCTTTATTAATACTTCTTTTAAATGATCTTAAAGTTTTTTTGGTATGTTTTTAGATGGATGTAACAAATACGCTTATTAATTTGTTTTAAATAAATACAACAATATTTTTAATTTATATTTATGGTTTTTTCAACAAACAACATCACAAAATATTGGTGGTATTTAATTTCATTTGTAAATTTTTATTGTTAAAGGAATTAAATTGCTTATCAACTCAAAAATTTGTATTGGTAACATTCAAAGATTAAAATTTATTTATATAATTAAATAAAAATCATTTATTTTTATTAAATGTTTAAATTGTATTTTAAGAGAAAAAACAAGTGAAACTTACAAAAATTTACATTTTTTTTCGTTGATAGAATATGAATTCGCATTATATGAACATGTTTTTTTGATTTTATATTCAATAAGTGACGGTAAAAAATATTCCCAAAAAGGTAGGCGGATATGATGCTGACATCTTTCCCTTTTAAGCACACAACAATTGACAATTGTCAGATATATGGTTTGAGCTTAGCTTCAAAGGTCAAAAATACCAGGAGGTCCCAGGA